CTTCCATTTTTTTAGACCTGGCACCAAAAACTTTCGGCTGATGCAAAATTTGAGGGAAATAAACAAACGAGTCAAGACCATACACCCAACAATCCCAAGCCCCTATACTCTATTGAGCCTACTTCCAACGAAACACCAGTTCTATACAGTTCTGGGCTTAAAGGATGCCTTCTTGAGCATCCCGTTAGCCCCTGCCAGCCTATCTTTGCATTTGAGTGGAAAGACCCTGAGGAGGGATTTTCGGGACAGTTAACCTGGACAAGACTACCCCAAAGCTTTAAGAACTCTCCTACTCTATTTGATGCGTCTCTCAGTCTGACTTGCAGGCCTTTGGACAAGAGCACCCTGAATGTACCCTACTCCAATATGTAGATGACCTTCTCCTAGCAGCAGAGGACAAGGAGAATTACCAGAGAGGTACAGAGCACCTCCTAGGCACCTTACAAACATTAGGGTACTGGGTCTCGGCCAAAAAGGCTCAATTGTGTTCCCCGGAAGTCACATTCCTGAGATATAAGATTAATGAAGGGCAGTGGACCTTTTCCCTGAGCCGCGTAGAGGCCATCCTGTGAATTCCCATCCCAAAAACTAAGAAGCAAGTCAGAGAATTCCTAGGGGCACTAGGATACTGCTACTTATGGATCCCGGGATTCACAGCCATTGCAAAACCTCTCTCTATGAGCACTGGGGGAACACAGCCTTTAGTCTGGACTGAGACAGAACAAGAGGCTTTTGAAACCATGAGAAAGGCCCTGGTGTCAGCACCAGCTCTTGCCCTGCCTGACATTACAGTCCTTCCATTTATATGTAGGCAAGGCAAGAGGAATAGAGAAGGGAGTCCTCACTCAAGACTTGGGACCCTGGAAGAGACCAATAGCCTACTTATCCAAAAGACTAGATCCAGTAGCAATCGGATGGCCTGCCTGCCTCACAGCAATAGCAGCTGCTGCACTCCTAGTAAAGGAGGCAGACAAGTTAACTTTAGGGCAAGAGTTAGCTTTAACTGCACCCCATGCTGTTGAAGCCCTCCTCCAGAGTGCTCTGGAATGCTGGATGCCAAACACCTGAGTCACCCAGCTCCAGGCACTCCTCCTGGATCAACCCCACCTCAAATTCCACAAAACGTTGGCCATTGGTCCTGCTAACCTGCTCCCCTATGATGACCCAAAGAACCTCTACACAACTGCCTGGAGGTAATTGACACAGTGCAGACAGCCTGCCCAGACCTCAAGGATGTCCTACTGCCATCATCAGATGAGGTATTGTTCACAGACGGGAGCAGCTATATCCAAGAAGGAATCAGGTATGCTGGGGTGGCAGTAGTAACTCTGGACCATGTCCATGTCATTTGGTCTCAGTCATTAAATAGGGGAACTTCAGCCCAAAGAGCTAACTCATAGCCCTAATGAAGGCCCTACGCTGGGGAAAGGATAAATCAATAACCATCTATATAGACAATAGGTATGCCTTTGCCACAGTACACGTGCATAGTGCCATTTATCGGGAACGAGGACTTCTGACCTCAGCCGGGAAGGGTATTAAAAATAGGGAAGAAATTCTTGCCTTATTAGACGCGATTTTGTTACCAAAGGCCATAGCTATAGTACATTGTAAAGGACATCAAAAAGGGAACTCCACAGAGGCACAGGGAAATCATGCTGCAGATCAGGAAGCTCAAGAGGCAACCCTAAAACCAGTGGGGCCTCTCCAGATATTAGTTGCCATGCCAAACCCAAGTTTGCCTTTGACTCCTACTTACCCTGGATCAGAAAATGACTTAGCCAAACAGAAACGAACCACAAAGGAAAGCAATGGATGTGGATACTGTTTGCTGGGCGGTTGTTGGTCCCAGAGGCTCTAGGGAGGACTTTAGTTAATCAGCTGCACCAAACCACTCACTTAGGCCACACCAAGCTTACTGAACTCCTGAGAGGCAGGTACTTCATACCCAATTTAGGCAATATAATGGATAGTACTGTATCCAGGTGCACAACCTGTGCCCAGGTTAATGCTAAGCAGGGTAGAAAAGCTCCCCTGGGAATCTGGGCCGGGAGCCTCCCCAGGGGAAAATTGGGAAATAGATTTTACAGAAATTAAGCCCCCAGTGTCAGGATATAAATACCTCCTGTTTTACTTAGACACTTTCTCTGGGTGGATTGAGGCTTACCCTACTAAAACAGAGACAGCCACCATTGTAGAAATCATTGTAGACAGCCACTCCAAGAAATCATTCCTAGATTTGGGTTACCTGTGACCCTAGGATCAGACAATGGCCCTGCCTTCATATTAAGAATATCACAGGACATAGCCAAGGCCCTGAATATTGATTGGAAACTCCATTGTGCCTACCGACCCCAAAGCTCAGGGCAGGCAGAGCACATAAATAGGATCTTAAAGAAAACCTTAGCCAAATGTACTTTAGAAACCAGTGAAAACTGGACCACTCTGCTCCCCCTCGCCCTATTGTACCCCATACTGGGATGGATTCTCCCCTTATGAAATTATGTATGGTAGACCTCTCATTCTTCCCCAGCTGAGGGAAGAATTGAAGGCTGAAATTCACAACTGCTCCTTACTCAAGTTCTTACAGGCTCTGCAGTCTGCCCTGAAGGCTGTCCATAAACAGATCCGCAACTCCCTGCCTGTGCCCACCTCGGACCCTGTGCACCCCTTCCAGCCTGGAGACTCGATGTGGGTAAAGAAGTTCACCACCCAGGGACTAACTCCAGCCTGGAAGAGAACATACACTGTCATCCTGACTACACCAACGGCTGTCAAGGTCAGCGGCATCCCGACATGACTGCACCATTCCCGGCTGAAGGCAGAAAAAAACAATATGGACGGTCCAGGCCTCTCCAGATCCCTTAAAGATGAGACTCTTGCGTTTATTGGGACCTTAATCTTTCTGGTCATGACCCTTCAGGGGAATCCATATAGACTTGGGACCCAGTGGAACTGGGAACTTAGAAATGGAATATCGGGGGAGATTTAAGAAATGTCACCACATCTAGAAACAACCCAAGCGTCCATCAGTAGATGAGTGGATTAAAAAGCTGTGGTACATCATGTACACAATGGAATACTATGCAGCTGTAAGAAAAAAAGATCTCTTATCCTTTGAGATGGCATGGAAGGACCTGGAGAGTATTATGCTAAGTGAAACAAGCCAAGCAGAGAAAGACAAATATCACATGATCTCACTTATTTGTGAAATATAATGAACTAAACAAACTGCTGAACAAAATTAACCCAGAGACATAGAGGTGGGGGTACAGACTGACAAGCCTCAGAGGAGGAGGGTTTTGGGAGGGAAGAGATAAACCACAGAACTTATATGCATGTATGCATGACCAAGGAACATAGACAACAAAGCTGAGGGTGGAGTGAGGCGGGGGGAGGAGGGTGTCAATGGGGGAAAAATGAGAAACATCTGTAACAAAAACAAATTAAGACAAAAATGTCACCACAAAGGGGATTGAAAACAACATAGGTACAAAAGATATTACTAAAGAGGATTCAGAAGATATAGAAGGACCCCTACCCTGGGGTTATAGGACATCTAGGAGGGAATAGGGGCTACAATGATTAGAAATCTATATATGCCTAGGGAGAGGTACAGTCACCGCAAGTTGCTTGAATCCAAATGAATACTTCTGTCCATCTTGGGATTGTGAAACCATATCTACTATTAAGGGCTATCTAAGAAGCAGGGACCCTCATATAGATTTTAAAAGGTTAACCAAGCCCTGGGGTCTCTGTATAGGGAAATCTAACCCCATCCAGATTGATGTCACTAGGCAGCCAAACCTTTATTGGGCCACAGGAAGGACATGGGGACTGAGGCTATATACATAACTGATAAAGACCCTGGAATTCTATTCACCATTCACAGGAAAGTTTCAGAAAAACAAAAACAAATAACCCCCATTTATCCATTAGCAGAGTTAACTCTCCCTATGCAGGTCTGGGTCCCACCCAAACCCACTCTGAGACCCGAACACTGCCCTGGCCAGTTTGGCTCAGAGGTTGGAGCATCGGCCTGCAGACCAGAGTGTACCGTGTTCAGTTCCTGCTAGGGGCACATACCAAAAAAAAAAAAAAAAAAAAAAAAAAAGACCCAAACACTTTCCTATAGGAACCTCTACCTCTTCCTCAGATGAACAAATTAATCCACCCAAGGAAACTCCTTCAGGCTCATCTCTCCTTACTATGTTAAAATCAGTGTGTAAATATCTAAATTTATCACAACCAGCACTGGGGGCTGACTGTTGGTTATGTCTAAATGCTAGGCCACCTTATTACATGGGTGTTGGAATCTCAGATAATCATAATCCTATACAGGCTACAAATGAGGATAACTGTACCTGGGATAGGCCAAGAATCACATTAAGAGACATCGAGGGATTAAGTACATGTCTACACTCTTCTAACTACAACCTCCAACACTCCCCCTTCTCTCAAGCATGCAACCAAACTAGAATAATTACTAAGAGCCCTCCAGTGTTCTTCCAGGCCCCTGAACAAACCTGGTTTGCATGCTCAAACGGATTAACAAAATGCATTTCTTCTGAGCACTTCGACCAGGACCCGTTACTTTGTACTCTGGTCTGTATTTTACCTCAGTACCTCTATATAGACTTAGCCTTTATAAACGGGCTGCAAGAATGCTCGCGGCTGCAGATTTTGGTAAACTATCCTTCCCACTGCAGCTTGCCAGTGAATAAAGCGCTCCTTTCATTTACAATTCGCTGTGCGTCTCTGGTTGTCTCGCAGTAATACCAAGACTTCTTTCTAAACCCTGGCAGGTTTCCGCGGCGAGGAACACAACCCCGAGCTTGCGGAGGGCACCTAGCTCAGCCAGAGACAGCCTTGATCACCTCTCCCCTTGCCCATCTTGGAGCCCCTGCGCTAGGCCCCGCCCCGGCGCGCTCCCGGCAGCCCTTTGGGGCGGATACCAGGCCCTGCCCACCGCGGACTACATTTCCCAGAGGCCTCTGCACACGGTTTTCTGAGGGCTTCCTTGCTGGTGCCGCCTGGAGAGGTGAGTAGGCTGCACACGTTGAGGAAACGGGCGCGGGGGCGGCAGCACGGGGGCGGCGCGGGCTCCTGTGTGAACCCGCTGCAGGACTGTGGAGTTTGTGATGGTAACTGGGCTCTGCGTGCCCTGATTCGTCCCCTGCACTTCCGCTTCAGGGCCGCCCCATCCAGCGGCCCAGAACGGCCCGAGTAAATGTATGAACCCCAGAGTGAAGGCCGTCCACAAAAAGACGCAGCCCCGAGAACAACTGCTTAACCGCTGCCACCCCCCGAAAGTACCCTGAGCTCGGAGAAAGATTCCAGCCCTGGTGGCTGTACCCTGCCCTTTCTCTCTGATACTGGGTAGGGTGGCGTTTACCCCAGGCTCCCAGATTTCCCTCCGGTGTATGTGTGGTGTTGGGCGTGAGGCTGTGACCTGAGTTAGCCAGCCGGGCTGAGCTCCAAGAAAGGCTCAATGTCCCAAGGCTCCGGGCTCCTTCCCCAAACCTGCTGATCCTTAGGAAAGGAGAGAGAAAGGAGGATATGTATCTATTATAAATATAATTATATATGTTCTAACAGTATATGTCGATATATACATACCTATCTCAAGATGAGTTTCTGTTTCCCCTTTGTTCCCAGAAATACAATTTTTATTTTTCCAGACATGGGGATATTGCATCTGTGAAAGAGGGAAAATCAGGTAGGACTCAAAAGAAATAAAGGAACGCTGTCATTAATCAGGCTGGGAGAAGACAGATAAAGTCAGCTACAAAATTAGGAAACATTGTTTCTCCTTGTTATGGGGGAGAACAGCACCAGCACCAGGCGTTAGAGGGTGGAGTCGGGCCTGACCTTGGTTCAGCCACCTGGTACTTGAGTTCTGGCTAAGAAAGAATTCAAAGCCAAGACTCAAACTATAAGAGACAGTTTATTTAGAAAGTCACAGAGATAGAGGAAGCGAACTACTGTATAGATGTGGGCTCAGGAAACAAGTTACAGAGGCACAATAAGGGCCCTTGGAGCTTAACAGAAAGAGAGAGACAAGGAAAATGCAGGTGGGGAAAGGCACAGGTGTGCTCCATAGAGAGCGCCACATGGGTCCTCCCCCTGGAGGGCATTTATCTGGAGGTTCACAAGAGGGTCCCAGTAGAATATTCAGCAGTTTTCCAGGTGTGTACTTTCAGGGTCGTAGTCTCTGTTGATTGCTTGGTGCCTGGGCAGGGGGTCATTAGTCAGTGCAGCTGGTCGTGATGTCAGCCATGGCATTGCTTCTCTGGTTTTGCTGTTTTTCTGGGCTTGGAGCTGAAACACAACTGGGTCAGAGCCGCATTGTCCTGAGGGCTTAATGCTTAAGGGCTATTCTCCAGCCCCTTTGTTGGTTCCCCCTCTAAGGGGGTCCAAACTGCATGACCAGCGATATGCTAAAGGAGGAAAGGTTACCCTTGTGGGTGAGGTCCTTGTTTTCCCGGTTTGCCTATTGCTAGGCACCTGGGGCTTTTTGCACTTGGCCCGCTGTGTCCTTATTCTGCTCACGTCTGTCTGCCTACCACATCCTCTGGCCATGCAGCAGTTGTTAAATGCCATGATGACTTTCTCTTTGAGAGATTTCAGCTTTCTTACCAAGAAAGTGTTCCAGACCTACTTTACTATGTTTATTTCATTACTGGGGATAGCCAATTGCTAAACTACTCTGGCTTTATAGTAGTGCTCAACCTCTAATTAATCCCTGCCTCCTACTCTCACCTCAGAAACAGCAAACATTCCACAATTGTTTCCCTTCCTCAGAATCCTTCAGTCGGTACCCAACCCTTTATACAAGAGCCTCTCTTTCAATCTCTCTCTCTCTCTCTCTCTCTCTCTCTCTCTCTCTCTCTCTCTCTCACACACACACACACACACACACATCCATTACACTCCAACCGTTCCTGTGGAATTTCTCTCTCCCTGTCTTGAGAAAATAAATCTGACCAGATAGGCTTGTGCCATGTAGTCTTTAGCTGGTAAGGCTCTAACACCTGAACTATCTACTGACCTGGATCTTTGCCCTTCCTACTCAGTGAATGATGGAGATGGTGTAGGTGGGCATCCCATCCCTCCTAGTGGGTATTCAATGAACATTTGCCAGTCATTTAATTCCTCCTGGGAGCTGCTTCTTTTGAAACCCTCAAGTGGTCTGCAAGGAAGGCTAACAACAGAGCTTTATTTTAGGCTGTGATTTGTTGAGATTAGTTTAGTTGGACTCATAGGAGGTGGCTTTGATCTCCACTGCCCTGAGGTCAAAGCAGGGAAAGGTAGATGGTCTGATCTGTGACAGGGTCTTCTGCTTTTGAGGCTTTTAAGGAGTGGTGATTTGGTAGGGTTGTTGTTTTTAACAGAGATCTGCGTTAACAAGGGAAGGGATTATTAGTAGAAGAAAAGCAGACATTAGTAGAAATTTGAGAAGATGCTTGAAGTTTTTGACAGCATGAGTTTGTTTCAGGCAAAATATTTGTGTGATTTTAAGAGAGGCAGTTTAGAGTAGTGACAATGGTATGGGCAATGGAACTAAATTACCAGAGTTCTAAATTCTAAACCTGTCACTTAGAATTGGGTGAACTTGCCCTGGCCGGTTTGGCTCAGCGGTTGGAGCATCGGCCTGCAGTCCTGAGAGACCCAGGTTCGGTTCCCGCTAAGGGCATGTACCTTGGTTGCAGTTTGTCCCCGGCCCTGGTTGGTTGTGTGGGTGGCAGCCACTCGATGTGTTCCTTTCACGTCGATGTTTCTCTCTCTCTCTCTGTTCCTCTCTCTCCCTCCCATTCTACCTGGACAAAAAATGGAGGGATGTCCTCGGGTGAGGATAAAAAATAAATAAAATAAAAAAAAAAAAAAAAAAGAATTGGGTGAACTTGGGGCAATTTATTTCATCTCTTTGTACCATAGTCCCTTCATCTGTAAAAGGAGCATAATGACAGAACCTGCTATATAGGATTGCTGTCAATAGATGAAGTAATGTATGTGAAGTTCTCAGATAGTGCTCAGTATGTTTAGTTCGTACTATTATGTTGTAATTCCATGTTTTTTCTTATCACCCAAATCCAAAAATTGTGAGGATTTTTGCTTCATTTACTTCATCCATTCACATCCCCCCTCCCCCACTCCTGCCCCTTTTGTAAATTGTTAATCAGGAGGAATTATCAACACAACGCTTTGAAACCTAATAATAGTTAGTGTTATAAGAAAGACCTGGACTGAGAAGCTCGTTTTTTTAGGAAAAAATAATTTTCTTTAATAATTACAGGAAGAAGAGTATATAGTATTCTTCATTTGTAGCTGCTTTTCATTAAATTTTTCTTTGCTACTTTAAGTGCTTTTATATGTCGTGTCTTATTTAATCCTCATAACAACCCTTTGATATAGAACTATAATTATTTTACATAGGAAGAAACTAAGGCTGAAAAATTAAGTAACATGTTCAAGATCATACAGTTAATAACTATCAGAGCTGAGATTTATAGTCTAGAAATCTGACAGCAAAGCCTATATTAGTCATTACAAAAGTATACCAAGTCTCATCATTATGTGTACTTAAAAATTCTTCCTGCCTTAGTAATCCATCATAATGGAGGGAGCACACATTAATTTGATGTCAGCAAGCACTGTTCAGTTATGTCCAGGTTTTCCTAAGACCTTGGAGTCTCTGTGGAGGGAAATGCATTTCATACAATAAGATTTATGCATTACAATTTTCATTTTAGTGATGTTCTATGCAGAATGAGACTAGTAGGACAAGAAGATCCAGCATCCGTTGTAGGGCTTCAAAAGCATCTTAGCCCAAAGTATTGGTTCAGAAGCAAAATAAAGTCATTTGTCAGGAAGATGTGAAAGGAGGCAGCCATGAGACTGCAATCAGTACTTTAAAAGACATCAGTCACTGCCCTGGCTGGTTTGGCTCAGTGGTTGGAGCATCAGCCTGCAGACCAAGGAGTCATGGGTTCAATTCCGGTCAAGGGCACTTACCTCAGTTGCAGTTTGTTGAAGTTCATCCCCGGCCCTGGTTGGGGTCGTGCGGGAGACAACCAATTGATGTCTCTTTCACATTGATGTTTCCCTCTCTCTCTGTCTTCCTTCCACTCTATTTGAAGATAAATAAAAGAATATCCTCAGATGTGAATAAAAAAAAAAAATACATCAGTCAGGGACTTTTTGCCATTTTTTTCTAAATAGTACTCCAACATACATGAACACATTAAATCTTAGAGTTGGTTCATGAATTAGAAGCTGAAATTAATAAGTTGTTCAAAACAATAGCAGCTGTTTTTAGAGTATTTTACACTCTTAGTTTAACAGAAGATGTGAAGAAAAGCTTGAATTTCTTTGGAGTATTTGTGATCTTTAGTTCACACTATATTTAATATGGTGATGAATATCACTGGCTGTCACTGTAAACATTTCAACTGGTCCTTCAAGGCATACATGTGCTTTTCTTTCTGTCAAAATAGTTTAATACCACACATGGTTTTTAAAATATGTTTTTATTGATTTTTTTAGAGAGAGAAAGTGAGAGAGAGATAGAAACATCAATGTGAGAAAGAAACATTGATTGGCTGCCTCCTGCACGCCTCCCCACAAAGGGTCGAGCCCGCAACCTGGGCATGTGCCCTGACCGGGAATCAAACCAGGACCTCTCAGTCCATGGGATGACGCTCAATCCACTGAGCCACACCAGCTGGGCTGTTTTTGGTTTTTTTTTCCCTCACCCGAGGACATTTTTTCCATTTTTTTGTTCAGATAGAGTGGAGGGAGAGCAAGGAAGAGAGAGAGAGAGAGAAACATCGATGTGAAGGGAACACATCGAGTGGTTGACACCCGCACGACCCAACCAGGGCCAGGGACAAACTGCAACTGAGGTACATGCCCTTAGTGGGAACCGAACCCGGGTCTCTGAAACGTAGGCTGATGCTCTAACCACTGAACAAACCGGCCAGGGCTGTTTTTGTTTTTTTTAAACACAGCAGCTTCAACCATTTTATCAAACCTGTGGCAACAACATCACTTTTTTATATTTGCATGGCTTTCAGTTGTTAAACCATTTCTCCCATTAGATTCTTTTCAGCTTTTATTCACAAAAAAACACATCTGTCAGCATACCTATGCAAATATCTTTATGTACCTGTACAAATAGCGCCTTTAGTCCCAGCAGTGGAGTTTCTGGTTCACAGGGTATTCAGGGTTACAGAGTTTAAATGATGCTTCACAAATTTGGACCAACCTAGCGTCCATTTCCCCATGACCTCACTATTATGGAGCATCATCAGTGTTTGAGATCTCCCAATTCAGTTTCTATAAAAAGATCTTTTCCTGGTTGCTTTAATATACATCACCATAATTAATAGTGACGTTTAGTATTTTTTGAAAGGTTATTTCTATTGTTTTAACTTTTTCTTTTCTTTATTGATTTTAGAGAGAGGAAGGGAGGGGGAGAGAGAGAGAAACATCGATTGGCGGCCTCCTGCATGCCCCCAACTGGGGATTTTTTTTTAATATTCACCTGAGGACACTTTTTGCATTTATAGAGCAAGAGGGAGAGAGGGAGGAAGAGAGAGAGAAACATCGATGTGAGAGAGACACATCGAGTAGTTGCCACCCACACAACCCCAACTGGGGCTGGGGACAAATTGCAACCAAGGTACATGCCCTTAGCGGGAACCGAACCTGGGTTTCTCCAGACCGCGAGCCAACACTCCAACCACTGAGCAAAACTGGCCAGGGCCCAACTGGGGATTTTGGCCCACAACCTGGGCATGCGCCCTGACCAAGAATCGAACCAGTGACCTCTTGGTGCATGGGTCGATGCTCGACCACTGAGCCACACCGACCAAGTGAAAGGTTATTTCTATTTTATAGTTAATTCCTCTTGCTTAGATTTTTCTCAGTGAAGTAGAAATCTTAGCCTTCAGAGGCAAAAATCAAAGATGAAAGATGGCTTTTTGGATAGAGAAATGTGGAATCAAAACAAAACAAAGCTCTGGCGTCTAATCACTGAAACTGAGCAAATGACTTGACCCCTGAGCATCATTTTCCTGTTGAAAGGAGAGGAGAACTGCATTGCAGAACAGTGCTGAGGATCAACGGGTGGTGTGTGTACAGCATCCATCACATCCAAGTTCTCGGGGTCTGTTTGTCTTGGACTGACTGCAGCTGTCATGAATCCCCTCCTCCCTAGTTTCGACACTGAAACAGGGAGTGGCAAAGGGTGTCACGGCATGAGGGGTCCTGACTGGGAAACAGAACAGTGAGTTGCCCTGGTTGGGGAACAGCCAGTGCAGCTTTATAGTGTCAGGAGCTGCCCAGCTCAGTCTGTGTGGCTTTTAGTCTGTGTTCAGGAAGTTCAGGCAGAATCTCGGGGGCTCAAAAGAGGTTCTGTTTGGTTGGTGTGCCTCTTTCTTGGCCCAGAAAAGTTGTACTAGAGGGAGGAGGAACTGCTCAGGACACGTCTAATAATCTAATGTTAGTACCATGTTGCCAGGTGGGAAACTAGTCAGAGTTCCTGCAGAAATATCTGGTCCTCCACATCAAGTCCTGCATTGGTCATTGGGTTTCATCAGGGCTTGGATGTCTTCAGACTCCCCAAACTCTCCTCCAGTTTGTGTGGGTATGGGATCAGTGTGGGTGTAGTGATGCAGAACAGGTTGGAAGCAGGAGTCGCGGGACAAAAATAAAAGCTCATATTAACATAAGTAATTTTGGAGGCTCTGAGTAACATCTGGTTTTATGACTTCTTTGTCTTCTTCCAGATCTGGTTTATGTGGACTTCACAGTTCTCCAGCAGAAATCTTGAGAAGGACTGACCGGTTCAGAACCATGGCCCTTGTAAGTGGATGTTTCTTTTTCCCCTTTTTACAATATTGTCATTTCTTATTCTGAAATTTCCTGTTTAGCAGAACCCCAACCAAGAACCTGGACTATTTTCTCTTGTTCCCATGAGGGGTGGAGACAAATAGCCCAGTGTCCTCTTCATGTACTCTTCCTTTTTTTCCCCACTAATATGGACTGTCTCCTATCTACAAAATATGCCGAGACCTGTGACAGAAAAAAAAGCTTGATAAAAAAACGCAGGCGCCCTAGCCAGTTTGGCTCAGCAGTTAGAGCGTCGGCCTGCGGTCCAGAGAGACCCGGGTTTGGTTCCCGCTAAGGGCATGTACCTCGGTTGCAGTTTGTCCCTGGCCCTGGTTGGGTCGTGTGGGTGGCAGCCACTCGATGTGTCCCTTTCACTTCGAAGTTTCTCTCTCTCTCTCTTCCTCTTTCTCCCTCCTGCTCTATCTGAACAAAAAATGGAAAAATGTCCTCAGGTGAGTATTAAAAAACAAAAACAAAAAAACACAGGCATTCTCTGCAGAATATCCCCCCTATTAACATTTTCCAACAGAACAAGCTGTTGATTTTAATATTTGAACTTCAGAGTAACTATATTTCTCTGAGTACAAAAGGATCTCATTTTTAGTCTGGTTTTATGAAGGAAAAATTTATATTTCCAATACACGATTTGACATGTTAAAGGTTTTTAAACTTTTTTATTAACATATAGTGTACATAGAGAAAAGTGCACAAGTTACAAGTGTACAGCTATATAAAGTAAAAAAAAATTTTTTTTCTTTATTGATTTTAAGGAGAGAGAGATAGAAACATCGATGAGAGAGAACATCGATTGGCCGCCTCCTGCATGCCCCTCACTGAGGATTGGGCCAAATGTAGTGCTAGAATGTTTTATTTGGGGGGGGGGGGTGAATTGTTGATGGTAAGCAAGAGAACCCAGTTTTGAACTGTCCTTGAAGATCTGTGGTTTGATGAAAGGGAATTTGATTCTATTTGACTGCTATAAGGAAAACTCCAGACTTCTCCACATGAGATTATTATTGGCTGGTCTTGGTCTCTGTATGTGTTGAGATCTTACAGTATGTAAGGCTTTTACGATTGGGTAGATTAAGTAGGGATGTGATTGGGGGCCTTATGTTACAGGGCCTAACATTTCTTATACTGTCTTGATATCTTTGTCAAGGCTCCAGAGGCCTAACCAAGAGTTCTCCTGCCCTCATCAGCAATGCCTGCCATCCAGCAGAAAGAGTCCCTACCTGGTCAGTTCCCCTGTCCACCACACCAGCACCCTTCCTGATCCTTGATGTATGGCTTTTACTCCCCTGCCAGCCTGCAGAATTATCCAGACAAGGCCATCATATCCTCCCGTGGGAACCAGAGCACACCTCCCCCTCTTTTTACTACAAGGCCTGCCTCCCACAGGCCCTGCTTATTCACTCTATTCCTGGCGCAGCCCCTGCATGGTCCTGCATGATGTTTGGTGTCCTCTGCTGGGCTGTTGAGTATATGTGACTAATAAACTACTGGCAGTCTCATCAATCTGGTGTCAGGCATTCATCCATCTCATGCTCTCTGGGTGAGGGATTCTTCCCTCCCTAATGAGTGAATAGGAGATGATCAGAACAGGACTGCAAAGAGAAAGATTAAGAATCATCTTTGGGAAATCCTGAGGGAAGAATACCAGAAGCAAGTATGTTGTGTAGTTGTATGGGATGTGCTGGTCTAGAGCAGATATCTCAACCTTGGGACTATTCATATTTTAAGCCAGAAAATATTTTATTGTGAGGGATTGCCCTCTGCATTGTAGGATGTCTAAAGGTGTCCCTGGCTTCTACCAGTTAGATGCCTGTAACAGTTACACCTCCTCCCCGACTTGTCACAATCAAAATTATCTGCAGACGTGGCCAACTGTCTTCTGAAGAGTAAAATCACTCATTGAAAACCACTGGTCCAGAATGATATCTTCACAATTCTGTATTCTCTAACTCAGGAGTGAGAAAAGGTGGTCAGTAATGGGTAACGGATGATAAAGAGTAAGAAGGGCATCCAGATGCATAAGTAAGTATTAGATAATATGAACTGTGATATTTGAGGAAGACTTTTGAGATTGTGTTATATTAAAACATCTAAATGGAGCCCGGGCCGGTTTTCTCAGTGGTTAGAACCTCGACCCGCAGACCAGTGAGTTGCAGATTCGATTCTGGTCAAGGGCACGTACCTCGGTTGCAGTTCGTTCCCAGCCCTGATTGGGGTCGTGCTGGAGGCAACTAGTGGATGTGTCTATCTCACGTCGATGGTTCTCTCTCACCCTCACTGTCTCTCTCTCTCCCTCCCACTCTATCTGAAGATAAATAGAAAAATATCCTCAGGTGGGGTTTAAAAAAAATCTAAATGGAGAAAAAAAGTTGAATCTCATATATTTAAAGTGTGGAGCCCTGGCCCGTTTGGCTCAGCGGTTAGAGCATTGGCCTGCAGTCTAGAGAGACTCAGGTTCGGTTCCTGCTAAGGGCACGTACCTCGGTTGAGGGTTGTCCCCAGCCCTGGTTGGGTCGTATGGGTGGCAGCCACTCGATGTGTTCCTTTCACGCCGATGTTTCTCTCTCTCTCTCTTCCTCTCTCTCCTTCCCGCTCTATCTGAACAAAGGATGGAAGAATGTCCTCTGGTGAGGATAAAAAAAAATGTGGATTACTATGTAACAAAGTTTTGAAAATTTACTAAAAATTTGGTAATAACAGGGAAAATGTTTATAATAAAATCTGACTGTATGATGAACTTGAGTCTGTTTTCTTAGAGATTTTATAGTATATTCAGGAGAAATTATTATCAATATTTTTTATGATCATCCACAGGAAAAGAAGGTAGAAAACCTCATCTTAAGAATTTGTGGAGATACAGCTTACAGAAGGCTGTGTGTGCACTGTTTTGTTTTATTGGGACTATTTGGGTTATTTTATTCATTTCCAGATATGTGTGGGTAAAATTTAATCTTACCTCCAGCCACAGGACTGTTCAGGAGATGTAGTAACTCTGCTTCAGGGATACTCATTTTCTTACTGTCCACTATGCATGTCGTAGGTTTGCAGCCCTACCTGTTTGCTGCTGTGTGGCTCATTCTCTGCAGTACAATCATTGATCTCCAATCTTTCCATTTTAAAAGTATTTCATTTATTTTCACAAGTGATACCTGAGTGTGTTTCTTTTAGGGTTCAGTGACATTCAGGGATGTGGCCATAGACTTCTCACCGGAAGAATGGGAATTCCTGGACTCAGCTCAGAGGGACTTATATAGGGATGTGATGTGGGAGAATTATAGCCACTTCATTTCACTAGGTAAGGCTCTTTCTTCCAAATTATATTGGCTTTCTCTACTGTCAATTTCAGGACTGTGTTTTGAGAAACTAGATACATTTTGTCTCTCTGTTCCCAAGGAATGGTTGGAGCTTTCTTAGGTTGGAAATAGGACCCTCCATTTCACACTTCATCACTCCCATACTGCTAGGTCCTTCAGACTTTCTTCAGGCTCTGTACTTCCTTGTTTCCTTGATATCCAAGGGGCTGAATTCTGGGTTGCTTACAACAGAAGCATTGTCCAAGAAACCAGATTTCACATTGTATTGGAGCTCTGAGTTGATGGAGATGCTTAGCATTCATTTCTAATCCACCTGCAAGGAGATTACTTAGACTCAGGGATTGTGAGTCTCTCTCAAAATTGGATCCTATAAAATTGATATAAAAGGGGATGGATCCACAAAGTTTATTTAAAACTCAGTTAAAGCCCTGGCCAGTTTGGCTCAGCATTTGGAGCGTTGGCCCATGGACTAGAGAGTCCCGGGTTCGGTTTCCACCAAGGGCACGTGCCTCGGTTGCAGTTTGTCCTCGGCCCTAGTTGGGGTTGTGTGGGTGGCAACCAGTCGATGTGTGACTCTCACATCAATGTTTCTCTCTCTGTCTCCCCCCACCCCCTCTGTCTTAAGATAAATGCAAAAATGTCCTCAGGTGAGGATAAAAAGCAAAAAACAAAAACAAAAAACTCAGTTAAATGTTTAAATGCATTCTGTTTCCTATACCAGACGTTTAATTCTACCACTTTGTAATGAAAGTTAAAAATCTAAGCCCTTTCCCTTGTAACATTGAATGAATATTCTAGAAAGGGTATGAGAATGTCACAGGAAGTCTCTTACTCTCTCAGGAAAATTATAATAATAAAAGTTAATACTAGTTAATACATATGTTAATAGAATATATCTATTCTAAATATTGTACATAATAATTAACCCTCACACCAACTCTATGAGAAATATACTATTTTTATCCTCATTTCAGATGAGAAAACTTAGGCACAAGAGGTAACACAGCTACAAAGGCAGTATTTGAACCCAGGCAGTCTGGATCCAGGTTTTGTTTTCTCAACCACTACACAAGACTGCCTCTCAACAGAGCTTGTGTGAGTTTAAATTATACTAAGGCCTGTTCTTAACTCTCTGGTGTCTATTCCTTGTGGTCCTGAGGTTACCATAATATGAGTATTCTTCAACTTTTCGCATTTCTTTGCTCTTAGACTTTATAAAACCATATTTTGATCTAGAGTGCATTATAAATTTAACCAAATCTGAATCTAAGGACTTTTGGGCTTATCATTTCTTGTCACATTTTTCTATTAAACAGGACCTTCCATTTCTAAACCAGATGTGACCTCATTATTGGATGAAGGGAAGGAGCCCTGGATGGTTGTGAGGGGAAGGACCAGAAGAGACTGCCCTGGTGAGTGAGGCTTGGCAGGCGCGGGAAGTCATTTCTGCAGGTAATAGCCAAGCTGGTTAAGGTAAAGGCACAGTTGTTGAGGATCTCGCTTCAAAAGCCCATGGCCTGTAGAGGAGAGGCCTGAGACCCGGGAAGCAATTTAAAATCTTTTTTTTGTTGGTTTGTTAATCCTTACCGGAGGATATTTTTCCATTGATTTTTAGAGAGAGTGCAAGGGAGGGAGGGAGGAAAGGAGAAACATCTACGTGAGAGAGACACATCGATTGGTTGCCTCCCGCACGTGCCCTATGCAGGACCAGGGATGAACCTGCAACCCAGGTACATGCCCTTGACCAGGAATCGAACTCAAAACGCTCCAGTGCTTGGACTGATGCTCTAACCAGTGGGCAATACTGGCCACGGCCTGATTTGTTATATATATTATTTATAGTTGAATTCTAGACATTCTGTTTGAAAAATTTTAGAGGCTCTCAATGATGCTGGTTCTGAATAATATGTTATCTTCAGAGACCATTTAATTTGCTTCTGACAGACCTATAGAGCATGGCTGATCACCTTCATCTGTGCCAGAACAGTCTGTTTACTGTTTGTTCTTAGTCCTGGGTATAGCCCTTCTGGGATCTCAGCTGAAATCTGGGCTGATTATCAAGACCCTTCCTCTGTAGGGACATCTGAACTCCAACGTCTATTTCTGCTGCACTTTGAGGCTGCCAAAATCTGTACTTGGATGCTTAGCCTTTTAGAAGTTACTTTGTGTTAATTTCTTAGCCATGATAGATATTTACCTCCAGTCAGTAAGTGCCTCAGGGGAAATCCATGTAGACTATTGCTTATATCAACATGTTGCTTTCAATCTAGGACCTTGGCTCTCTAGTCTTGGCTGTTTTGGTTGTTCATTAATATCATCAAACAGTTTTTATTTTCATTAACCTTTCTAGTCATTTTCAGTGGGTTAGTTGTGATACCAGATTTTCCATCATAACCAGAAACAGACGTCTCCTTTCTCCTCCTCTGTTGCAGTATTTCTATATTTTAGAGGAAATAACATATATTACGTTTTTTAACCCTAATTCTCATATTAACACAGTGTGTTAATATTAGCCATAGACTTAAAAGATTCAGTGCTCATACCAATCCTTATGACTTTTCTTTTACTTTCTTTCAATGTCTCTCTTGCTTTTCTTTAGTTTATTCTTTATTTCATTCGTCAAGAAAGGCTCATAGGTCATAGTGAAATTTATATACAAATTTACTTTATTCAAATACACATGCACACACATATTTAAATTTTAGAATAACAGTACCAATATAGTTATCAACAATATATTTACTGAAATTTTTTAAATGTTTAGTTTTTTTTTTTTTTTTAATCTGCCCTTGAGGACATTTTTTTTTTTTTTTGCATTTATCTTGAGATAGATCAGGAGGGAGAGAAGGAGGAAAAGAGAGAGAGAAACATCAACGTGAGAAAGACACATTGAGTGGCTGCCACTCACAGTACCTCAACCGGGGCTGGGGACAAACTACAACCAAGTCATGTGCCCTTAGCGGGAACCAAACCCGAGCCTCTCTAACCGGTGAGCCAAACTGGCCAGGGCTGTTAAGTGTTTGTTTTTTTTTGTTTGTTTTTTGTGTTTTTTTAATCCTCATCTGAGGACACCTTTTCATTTTTTGTTCAGATAGAGTTGGAGGGAGGGAGAGAGAGAGAGAAACATCGACATGAAAGGGACACATCGAGTAGTTGCCACCCGCACGACCAACCAGGGCCGGGGACAAACTGCAACCGAGGTATATGCCCCTAGCGAGAACCGAACCCGGGTCTCTCAGGACCACAGGCTGACGCTCTAGCCGCTGAGCCAAACCGGCCAGGGCTTAAGTGTTTTTTTTTTTTAACATTAATATCATACTACTTTACTTATTGAAATTATTATTTTTGGTTGTTTATTTTTCCATATGGATTTTTCCTTTTTTTTTTTTTAAATCCTCATGAGTGGACATTTTTTCATTTATTTTCAGATAGAGCAGGAGGGAAAGAGGGAGTAAGAGAGAGAAAAACATCGATGTGAGAGAGACACATGGAGTGGTTGCCACCCACATGACCCCAACCAGGGCCGGGGACAAACTGCAGCCAGGGTACATGCCCTTAGTGGGAACTGAACCTGAGTCACTCGAGTTTCAGGCTAACACTCTAACCGCTGAGCCAAACGGGCCAGGGCTCCATATGAATTTCTCTATCAACATGTCTAATTCTAGGGAAAATAAATCCATTGGTGCTTTGTATTTGGATCACATTTTTTTTGTTCCACCTTTTTTTTTTTTTATTCTCACCCAAGGACATTTTTCTACTTTTTTTGTTCAGATAAAGTGGGAGGAAGAGAGAGAGAGAGAGAAACATTGACGTGAAAGGGATACATCGAGTGACTGCCACACGCACAACGAGCCAGGGCTGGGGACAAACTGTAACCGAGGTACCCACCCTTAGCGGGACCCGAACCTGATCTCTCTGGACTGCAGGCCGACGCTCTAACCACTGAGCCAAACTGGCCAGGGCTGTTCCACCTTTTTTTTTTGTATAACATGCATCTATTGGATCTTACGACATGATGGCATTTCTGAGGGGCATTAAAGAAACCAATCATTAGCAGGCACATTATTCTAATAAAATACTAATATTCTAGTTCAATAAGAGGAAAATAAATTCCTCTTCTTCTTGAGTAGAATTCTCCACTAAGGTACAGAATCATAGAGTATTGATTAAAAAATATAAGCCAGTTTATGGCTACCTGTCTTATGCCTTTGGGATCTCTCTGGGTGGAACCACTTGGTGGTGTTTCTTATGAAAGTTGCTTAACCCAAAGCAGGGGCAGCACTTCCTGGAGGCGGTGGGGGTGTCTCAAATGTTGCAGCATAGGTGCAGTTGTATCTTAATCTCTTTGGCTGTCCTGCTGAGATGTTCTCCAGACCTTCTGTATAATGGGGTCATCTGGTGTTACCCTAATAATTAGGGGTATGCAGTCTTATGAAAGCTGACCTGGATTTAGGGTTTCAGCTACTCAAACTCATCAATGGTAGCTTTATATATTTGTGACTAGAAAATCCCAAAGAAAAATATCTCCCTAATCTTTTTATTTTTAATATGTTTTTATTGATTTGTTAGAGAGAAAGGAAGGGAGAGAGAGAGAGAAACATTGATGTGAGAGAGAAACATCAATTGGCTGCCTCCTGCATGCCCCCCACTGGGGATCGAGTCTGCAGCCTGGACATTGGCCCTGACCGGGAATGGAACTGGGACCTCACAGTCCATGGATTGATCCTCAAGCCACTGAGCCACACTGGCTGGGCTCTCCCTAATCTTTTAAAGGACATACTAAATTCCAATTATACAAATGTACTTAATAATGTTTATGCTTAATTCAGTCACTGTACTAATATTACATTACATTAGGTCACTTATACTACTGACCTACAGGTTTTTTCTCTTCTCGGTGCTAATCTGGTGACTAAAGAAAGCCATTACAAATTAATTTCTGAATGAGGGTATAGTCAAAAAGAAAAACTGCTTTGAGTTCTTTCTTAAGTATTTCAGAACAATAAAAAAGAAATAGAATATGGGTGACTCAGGGCAAAAAACATTGTACTTCTTTTTGGAAATACACTTCATTTTTCAGCAGTTCAGGTTTACAGCAAAATTGAGTGGAAGGTACAGAGAATTTTCATGTACTCCCTGAGAATTGCATTATTCTACATTTTTTTACTTTTTTAAGTTTAGTTTATTGATAAATATATAATTAACATACGTAAAAACTCACTCTTTCTGTCCAGTTTTAGGAATTTTAACAAATGCATATAGTTCTATAAATACCACTAGAATGAAGTTTTAGAACAGTCCTGAAGCTTCCTCATATAACCGATGTGTCCTCATTTAAATTAAATCTAGCTTTTGGGCTAAGAAATATATATATATTTTGTTAATCCTCACCGAAGGATACTTTTTCCATTGACCTTTTTTTTTAGAGAGAACGGAAGGGAGTGAGGGAGGGAGAGGGAGAGAGAAACATCGATGTAAGAGAGACACCTCGATTGGTTGCCTCCCCCAAGACCCTGACCAGGGCCAGGTATCGAACCTACAACTCAGGTACGTGCCCTTGACTGGGGATCAAACCCTTGACTCTTTGGTCCCCGAGCCGATGCTCTAACCACTGACCCCAACCGGCCAGGACTGAAGACGTGATTCTTTTAAATTTGAGATCTCAGGATCAAAGGAAGCCAACCATGTAAAGTCAGGATTGCTCAAAGTAGTAACCTGTGAATAGTCCTACTGAATGGAAACAGTTGTAGTCTATTTAGTGCATGTGATGCTGAAAAGGGGCCTTTGTGGCATGAACAGAGAGAATAAATGAGAGAGGAGTTGATGCCAAAGCCTTGTTATCCCTGCTAAGTTACTTATATTTCATTCTAATTGTAAAGAGAAATCATTGAAAATATTTAAGTAGAGAGACCCAAATATTGGTCAACATCAGAATCATTTGCTGGAGAATAAATAGGAACAAATCAGAAACATGCCCAGGACCTAGATTTTATTTTAATCAGTTAAAAATACCTCTGTTCTGCTGTGTTTTAATTTTTATATACAAATACAATAATTAGCACATTGTATGAATTAAACTCTTGCTTTTTAAAGTTTATTTTTACTATCTTTATCACTTTATTGTATCACCATTGGTTTCATAATGTAAATACTATATATTGAACAAATTAAATGTAAAATTTGGGGGGGGTAGTCCCCCTCGTGGGAACCGAACCTGGGACTCTCTGGTCCACAGGCCGATGCTCCAATCGCTGAGCCAAACCAGCCAGGGCTAAATGTAAAATTTTGTATCACCATATTTCATGTTAATAGGGGGGCTTTCAGGTGTCTAGAGGTTTTTTTGGTTAACATTCAATGTCAAAGTAGTAGATGGTTGAATTTTAAGGGATTCCCCAATATGTATGCTATCTTTTTATCTGAAGTAATAAATATGATTTTGAAAGTGCCTAAATCAGAAAAAAAAATTTTATATAAATGAACAAAAATACCTCTGTATAGTTTTCACAAATCAGGTGATTCTTATTCACACTTTAGTCAGCCCTTCACTGATTTCACTTGCTTCCCCAATCACTAGGTTCACCTCCTTTCCTGGATTATTCTCTGTTTCCTTTGCCCTTTTTTTTTTTTTCTTAACTTGTTTTCTTTATTGATTATATAGACAGAGGAAGGGAGAAGGAGGGCGAGTTAGAAACATCGATGAGAGAGAACATCGATTGGCCGCCTCCTGCATGCCCCCACTGGGGATCCGGCCCACAACCTGGCCATGTGGCCTGACCAGGAACCGAACTGGCGACCTCTTGGTTCGTGGGTTGATGCTCAACCACTGAGCCACACTGGCTGGGCCTTTTTTTTTTTTAATATTTCAGAGTACAGTCTGTTTCATAATATAATTAATAATCCATAATACAAAATAGCTTAATAGTGATACAAAATAGGGAATAATTGTAGTATAATGTGGAAATTAGTTGGTTCACAGGCAATTTTCTTAGTTGAATGGAGCCAGAATAGTAGTAAATTAGTAACATTCAGAAAAAAAGTTGAAAGCCTTCAATTTGTTAAAAAAATTTATTTATTGATTTTTTTAGAGAAAGAGATTGAAACATTGATGTGAGAGAGAAACATCAGTCGGCTGCCTCCTGCACACCCCAAGCTGGGAATCGAGCTCACAACCCGGGCGTGTGCCCTGACCAGGAATCAAACCAGGACTTCTCAGTCCATGGGGCGACGCTCCATCCACTGAGCCACATTGGCTGGAGGAAAGCCTTCAATTTGGTGCTTTTTAGGAGCTTTTCTATCCCCATATTAAGAAAATTAATAATAGTTTGCACTATTCTTATTTTCTTTTTTTTGTCCTCACCTGAGGACATTTTTGCATTTTTATCTTGAGATAGGGAGGGAGGGAGAAAGAGAGGAAGAGAGAGAGAAACATTGACATGAGAGAGACACATCGAGTGGCTGCCACCCACATGACCCCAACCGGAGCCTGGGACAAACTGCAACCAGGGTACGTGCCCTTAGCAGGAACCGAACCCTGGACTCTCTGGTCCGCCCGCCAATGCTCCAACCGCTGTGCCAAACCGGCCAGGGCTGTACTATTCTTAATAATAATTCCTCCTCAGAGACTTACACCATCAATCTTGTATAGCTTCTAGCTAGACACATTGCCCTTCACCCGATTCCCACCTTAATGATAGCCTCACTGGCTCAGAGCTTTATTTCAAGTGCAATGAGTGTCTCAGCACCTGAAATCCAGCATTTCTACTTAATTTTTGTGCATTTTAATCCCCATGTAATGGCGTTCAGCCATGCTGAGCTGCCTTTGGGTTTCCTTCAGAACCTATTATATTAATTAGTGCTCTGCTGATACAGTTGCATAGATTTGAGTGGTCTTTCCAGCCTTACTTTCTTCATAAACCCTAATTTTTGGTGTGTAATTTTGCAGAAGATAGGTTTTTTAGGTATACATGAGGTATTGTAGCACAAATGCCTATATTCTAGAGATGTTTAATTCATTCACTTGTAATAGGCATTATTTTAGGTGCCTTTTGTTTCTCTGTAGAAATTGTCTTTCTGCCCTGCTCAATTTGGCTCAGCGGTTGAGCATCGGCCTGTGGACCAGAGAGTCCTGGGTTCAGTTCCCGCTAGGGGCACGTACCACCACACACACACACAAAAAGATGTCTTTCTTCTGGAACAGAAAAACAGCATGTATTTGCTTTCTTGTTTTCTTTCAGATTTGGAGTCCAGTTACAGGAACAATACTTTATCTACAGAAAAGAATATTTATGAAATATATTCATTCCAGTGGGAGGTAATGGAAAGAATTAAAAGCTATTGCCTTCAGGACTCCATTTTTAGAAATGACTGGGAATGCAAAAGTGAGATTGAACGGCACACAGAACCACAGGAAGAATATTTGGAGCAAGGGAAAATTACTTCTGAAAAAATGACCACTTACAAAAAGCATAATTTTCTTGCTGAATATCAGAGAGTTCACAATGGAGAAAAGTTATATGAATGTAAGGAATGTAGGAAGACCTTTATTCGTCGCTCAACACTTAGTCAACACCTGAGAATTCATACTGGTGAGAAGCCTTATAAATGTAAGGAATGTGGGCAGGCCTTTAGACAGCGCGCACACCTTATTCGACATCACAAACTTCATACTGGTGAGAAACCCTATGCATGTAAGGAGTGTGGGAAGGCCTTTACAGTGCTCCAAGAACTTACTCAACATCAGAGACTTCATACTGGTGAAAAGCCCTATGAATGTAAGGAGTGTGGGAAGGCCTTCAGAGTGCATCAGCAACTTGCCCGACATCAGAGAATTCACACTGGTGAGAAACCCTATGAATGTAAGGCATGTGGGAAGACCTTCAGGCAGTGTACACACCTGACTCGACATCAGAGACTTCATACTGCTGAGAAGCTCTATGAATGTAAGGAATGTGGAAAAGCCTTCGTTTGTAGTCCAGACCTTAGAGTCCATCAAAAAATTCATTTTGGTGAAAAGCCCTATGAATGTAAGGAATGTGGGAAGGCTTTTAGGATATGTCAGCAACTTACTGTTCATCAGAGTATTCATACTGGTGAGAAACCCTATGAATGTAAGGAATGTGGGAAGACTTTTAGATTAAGACAACAGCTAGTTCGTCACCAACGAATTCATACTCGTGAGAAACCCTATGAATGTACGGAATGTTGGAAGACCTTTAGTAGTTACTCACAACTTATTTCACATCAGAACATTCATATTGGTGAGAGACCTTATGAATGCGAAGAATGTGGGAAGGCCTTTAGACTGCTCTCGCAACTTACTCAGCACCAGAGTATTCATACTGGTGAGAAACCCTATGAATGTAAGGAATGTAGAAAACCCTTTAGATTGCTCTCTCAACTTACTCAACATCAGAGTATTCATACTGGTGAGAAACCTTATGAATGTAAGGAATGTGGTAAGGCTTTTAGACTTTATTCATTTCTTACTCAACACCAGAGAATTCATACAGGTGAGAAACCCTACAAATGTAAGGAATGTAAGAAGGCCTTTAGACAGCATTCACACCTTACTCAACATCAGAAAATTCATAATGGAATTTAGTACAAGAAAGTCTTGAAATGTACATTGTGTTACAGAATATCAGAACATTCATTTTGAGAATTTTTTTCATGCTCACATCTAAGCATAAGAAATTTTATACTACAGGGAAAAAAATGTTGCTTTAAAAGCCTTCCTTCACCAGTCAAACTTTGTCTTTAGCAAATGTAAGTCAGAGAATAATACAATTAATGTAAGGAAATCGTTAGCTTTATTTATTTTTATCTCCATTTCACCACTTTATTACCAGTGTGTTACTGGACAAGGTACTTAAACTTCTGTGCCTCAACTTGTTCATTTGTAAAATGGTGATAATAGCACCTATGTACATTATTTACTGCTGTGTAATAAATTACCACAACTTAATTAGTAGCTTAAAATAATACCTATATATTATTTCACAGTTTCAGTGGGTCACGACTCTGGGTATAACTTAGTTCGGTCTTCTGCTCAGGGTCTCTCACAAAGCTAAAATCAAGGTATTAGCTGGGGCTGGGTCTCATCTGAAGGCTCAGCTGGGGAAGGGGTCCACTTCCAACCTCATATGGTTGTTGGCTGAATTTATTTTCTTGAGGGCTGTTGCACTGAGTTCCTTAGTGTCTGACTGTTGGCTGAAAGCTTACTTCAGTTATTTGCCACATGAACCTCCTCAACATGGCTACTTGCTTCATCAACATGTGCAAGCCAAGAAGGCAACACTCTGATAGAATCAGAATTTATAATCTTGTGGAGTCTTATCACTGAAGTAATATTTTATCACTTTTGCTGTCTTCTACTGGCTAGAAGCAAATTTCTAGGTTGCCCACACTCAAAGAGGATTGTGCAAGAGTATGAATACCAGGAGGTAGGGACAACTGGGGCCAGTTCAGAGTCAGCCTGTGTGCACTGTGTAGTAGAATTGTAAGGATTAAATAGTTAATACGTAGAAAAGTAGCAGCCACATAGCATGTGTTCTGTAAATATTATCTATAATTATCATCAGTGAATTCATATGAAAGAAATATTCTTTACAAGTCAAAAAATGGAGAAATGCCTCCTATCATTGCTCAGCATTTAATTTATTCTGGATAAAATCTAGGAGGTTATATTGAATGAGCAGGTGTCCATTACTTATCAGGAATTTCATGCTGAAAAGAAAGCCTTAAGAATTTCATCAGTAGGCTCAGCCAGTGTGGCTCAGAGGATTGAGCATCATCCCACAGACCGAGAGGTCCTGGTTCCATTTCCGGGCAGGGCACTTGCCCAGGTTGCAGGTTCGATCTTCAGTGAGGGGCATGCAGAGGGCAGCAGATTGATGTTTGTCTGTCACATAGATGTTTCTATCCCCCTCTCTCTCTCTCTAAAAGAAAATCAAGAAAAACATTTTTAAAAAGAATTTCATGAATAGGAGGTAGTTAAGAGTACAACTATTGGCCCTGGCCAGTTTCACTCAGCGATTAGAGTGTCGGCCTGCGGACCAGAGAGGCCTGGGTTTGGTTCCCACTAAGGGCACGTACTTAAGTTGCAGTTTGTTTCCGGCCCCAGTTGGGGTTGTGTGGGTGGCAACCACTCGATGTGTCTCTCTCACATCGATGTTTCTCTCTCTTCTGCTCTGTCTGGAGATAAATGCAAAAATGTCCTCGGGTGAGGATAAAAAAAGAGTACAACTATTGAAGAATCAAAGAGAACCATGAAATTATTTCCCCATAATAAATTTCCAAAAGTAAATGTGTTATAATCTCTACTAACTGAGCACCAAAGTTAATTAGAAACTATCAAAAAGATGGCAAAAAAAATGTTTTAATCCTCACCCGAGGATATTTTTCCATTTATCTTCAGATAGAAAGGGAGGGGGAGAGAGAGAAAAACACCGATGTGAGAGAGACACATCGATTGGTTGCCTCCCGCATGACCCCAACCAGGGCCGAGGACCGAACCACAACTGGGGTACCAGCCCTTGACCGGAATTGAATCCGCTGGCCAACACTCTAACTGCTGAGCTAAGGCACCACTGGAAATTTAATATTGTATGTCCATATTCATGTGTGTATGTTTGTGTAAAGGAAAGAAAACATTTAATTACAATCAATATAACTTTTGGTGCTCAAATCGTCCCATCTTCAACTAGTGGAAGTTGGATCTCTTGAGATGATCCCACTAGTAGTTTACTTGGCTCTGGCTGTACAGTTTGGTCAGCTGTGGATGATGCTTGGGCACCAACTCATCATCTGAAAACTGATGAAGGAAAATAATTCATTTTGCTTTTCCCAAGTTTCACAGCCATCCAAAGCTCACCAAATTAAAGTGTTTTTTATCTAGAGAGATTCATAGGATTAGAAAAATCACTTTCTAGTTTCCTAATGGAGTAATGGTACAGAAAATGATCAGTGGATATTACAACTATTAAATAAAATATTTTATAGTGAGAATACTAGAATGGATTTATCAAGCTGACACCTCTGAATCATCAATTTTAACTTGTATAAAACTAGGACTGTCAGACTGTTCACCTCCTGAAATACTGCGATAGGAAGTACACAACACTACTTACAAAACCTTACTGCCAAAATCATGAACTAAAGGAATTAAACCTTTAAGTTAAATTCTTTTAAACCAAGAATTTGGGGAATAGATGAACAAAGTAAATGGCAACACAAAGAAGCAGTCACACAGATCCAGAAGGGGCAAATTCTACAAAATAACCTGCTTTCTTCGATTAGTGGCATAAAGAAAGGCAACTGTTAACAGATTAAGAGAGACAAGAGACATATCAATTAAATTCAGTCTGTGGGCATTACGTGGACCTACTTTGAAGAAAATGTAAAAAGATTTTGGAGATAGTGGGGGAAATGTGGACATGTACCTAATAGTAGATGATATTTAGAAATAATTTTGTTAGGGATAATAATGTCAATGTGGTTATTAAGAAATAGTGCTCCTGTGTGTTAGAGATACATGCTTACATGTTCATGAAATGATAAGATGTCCAGATTTACATTAAAATACTCCAGCAATAGAAAGAGAATGCAAGAGAACTGGAAAAGAGATTAACAAAATGTTGGTAATTACTGAAGTGGGGTGGTTTGTATTTGGGGGTTCATAATATTTCTACTGTTTGTGTTTTTAAATGTTTCAATAAAAATGTTTAATAGCAAAACAAGTTCTAGACTACTTAGAAATAATTGTTAATGACATGCCTGCATATCTAAACTTGTCAGATATCACCAAAGTTCTATTCAGGAAGAAAGAAATGTCCTTTAATAAGTCAAGGAAACTGGCACAGTCTTGACTTCACTTACCATAGCAGTCAAGTCTGGGCCTGTCACATACATAAATGTGTTTAAGGAATGAAGAAGCATTTATGTCAAGATATCAGAAACAGAACAAAATAAAACCAATACAAAGTACAATTAAAAATAGGAATTAAGCCCAAGTGGTGTGGCTAAGTGGTTGAGCGTCAACCCATGCACTAGGTCACTGGTTTGATTTCCAATTAGGGCACATGCCCAGATTGTGGGCCAAATCCCCAGTGGGGGGCATGCAGGAGGCAGCCAGTCGATGTTCTCTCTCATTGATGTTTCTATCTATCCCTTTCCTTCCTCTTTCTCTCTAAATAATCAATAAAGAAAAAAAAGGGAATTAAAATCTGGCCGGTGTGGCTTAGTGGATTGAGCTCGACCCATGGACTGACAGAACCCAGTCAATTCCTGATCAGGGCACATGCCTACCTTGCAGGCTCGATCCCCATTGGGGGGCGTGCTGGAGGCAGCCAATTGATGTTTCTTTTAAGAAAAAAATGTTTTGCCCTGGCCAGTTTGGTTCAGCGGTTAGAGCGTCGGCCTGTGGTCCGGAGGGACCCGGGTTCGGTTCCCGCTAAGGGCATGTACTTCGGTTGCGGTTTGTCCCCGGCCCTGGTTGGTCGTGTGGGTGGCAGCCACTCGATGTGAAGGACACATCGATGTTTCTCTCTCTCTCTCTCCCTTCCTCTTTCTCCCTCCCACTCTATAAAAAAAAAAAAAGAAAAAAATGTTTTGCCCTGCTGGTTTGGCTCAGCGGTTAGAGCATCGGCCTGTGGTCCAGAGGGACCTGGGTTCGGTTCCCACTAAGAGCACGTACCTCGGTTGCAGTTTGTCCCTGGTCCTGCTTGGGTCATAGGGGTGGCAGCCACTCGATGTGTCCCTTTCACGTTAATGTTTCTCTCTCTCTCTGTTCCTCCCACTTTATCTGAACAAAAAGATAGAAAAATGTCCTCAGGTAAGGATAAAAAAAAAAAAATGTTTTTATTGCCCTGTCTGGTTTGGCTCAGTGGTTGGAGCAGTGGCCTGCGGTCCAGAGAGACACGGGTTCGGTTCCCGCTAAGGGCACGTACCTTGGTTGCAGTTTATCCCTGGCCCTGGTTGGATTGTGCAGGTGGCAACCACTCGATGTGTCCCTTTCAAGTTGACGTTTTTCTCTCTCTCCCTCCCACTCTATCTGAACAAAAAATGGAAAAATGTCTTTGGGTTGAGGATAAAAAAATATATATATATATTGTTACTGATTTTTAGAAAGAGAGGAGAGGGAGAGATAGAAACATCAATGAGAGAGCAACATGATGGGCTGTTTCCCGCACACCCCCCACTGGGGATAGAGCCACAACCTGGGCATGTGCCCTGACTGGGAATCAAACCAGCAACCTCCTGGTGCATGGGCCAATGCTCAACCACTGAGCCACACCAGCCGGGCTCTCACATCCATGTTTCTCTCTATCTCTCCCTTCCTCTCTAGAAAAATCAATGAAACATTTTACAAAATAGAAATTAAGACACTAGATAATAGTTTCTCTTAATTGAATGTTTTTAAAAGTTTTTCAATCACAGTTGATAGTCACTATTATTAGTTTCAGGTGTACAGCATAGTGGTTAGACATTTATATAACTTAAGTAGTGATTCCTCAATAAATCTTAGTACCCACCTGATGCCACACGTCATGATTACAGTATCACCGACTGTATTCCCTGTGCTGTACTTGACAGCACAGTGACTTTTTGTAACTGCCAGTTTGTACTTCCTTCTTCCCTTCGTGGTTTTCATCCAGCCTCCCATCCACCTCCCGTATGGCAACCATCAGTTCTGTGGTTTTTGGTAAAATATGTTATGTAAATCTGGAATAAAACTTTCAAGCCTTGCAAAGAAAAATATTTGTACATGGGCAAAAAATGAAAAAGAATCATTTCTTAACATTTATTATAACTCAAAAATATTAGAAATTACAATGAAACCAGTACTGTAATCCTAACTTTATTTTATTTTTCAATTACAGTTTACATTCAGTATTATTTTGTATTAGTTTCAGGTGTACAGCATAGTGGTCAATCAAATACTTTACCGAGTGTCCTCCCCAACCTGGTATTTCTAGTACCCACACATAGTTATTACAATATTACTGGCTATATTGCCTATGCTGTATTTCACATTCCCATGACTATTTTGTAACTACGCATCTGTACTTCTGAACCCCTTCATCTTTTTCCCTGAGTCCCAACCCCCTTCTCTCTGGCAACCGTCAATCTGTTCTCTGTGTCTGAGTTTGTTTCAATTTTGTTCATTTCTTTTGTGCTTTAGATTCCATACATAAGTGAAATCATATTTCTCTGACTGACTTCACTTAGTATAATACCCACTAGGTCCATCCAGGCTGTTGCAAATGGTTAGATTTTTTTACGGCCACATAATATTCCATCGTATATCTGCATCACAGCTTTTTTATCCTCATTTATTGATGGTACTTGGATTGCTTCCATATCTTGACTATTGCGAATAATGCTGCAATAAACATAGGGGTGTGTATATTCTTTCAAATTAGTGTTTTGAATTTCTTTGTATACCCAGAAATGGAATTGCTGGGTCATAAGCCAGTTCTTTTTGTTTGAAGGACCTCCTACTGTCCTTCATAGTGGCTGCACCAATCTGCATTCCCATCAACGGTGCATGAGGGATCCCTTTCCTGCACATTCTTACCAACACTAGATGCTTGTGGATTTGCTCATGATAGCCACTGACAGGTGTGAGGTGGTAGCTAATTTACCACACAATACCTACTTACATTGAACTTAATTAAAATATGTATTACTTTCTTTTTTTTTTTTTTTTTTTTAATCCTCACCGGAGGATATTTTTTCCATTTTTTTGTACAGATAGAGTGGGAGGGAGAGAGAGGAAGGGAGAGAGAGAGAGAAACATCGACGTGAAGGGACACATCGAGTGGCTGCTACCCGCACGACCAACCAAGGCCGGGGACAAACTGCAACCAAAGTACGTGCCCTTAGCGGGAACCGAACCCGGGTCTCTCCGGACCGCAGGCCGACGCTCTAACCGCTGAGCCAAACTGGCCAGGGCTAAAATATGTATTACTTTCTAAGGTGTGGTAAAAACATGGAATCCACTAGATGATTATTCCAGATGTTGAGAATGTCTCATGATCAGGAGGCATGTTTAAGTGGACACTGCAGTGATTTCACAGCAGGTGAAATCAGTTTCTTGTTTGCTACTTTTAGTGGGAAGTTATTTTAGTGTCTAGTTTTCAATGTGTAAACACTATATTTACATATTATATTTTGAAACAATTGGACAGGTTAGATCATTTTATTCTGGATAAAAATATCCTATTATTTTTGTAATAGGCTGCTAGATTTCAATATTCATCTACCATGAGTACAGTGGATTCTTTTTTAAAGCTCATGTGGATTTGGATGCTGTCCTTTATCCAAATTTGGTCAAAGGGTTATGCTAGCTTCGTAACTGTGACTCTTTGTATATTGAAGACTGAGAAGAGTTTATCTGTAAGATACTCTGGTAATAGATGAATAACATGGTGTAGTTCTTGAATCGGTTTTTTCTTGGTTCTTTATTCAAGAAAATACTTTTCTAGGATTTCAGACAACTGTAAAAAACTGAATATAAGCAGACACTCTGCAGAAAACTGAGTGTAAATATACTCTATAAACACACATTTCCTACATGTTACCAAGTCACAGTTGAATATGGAAATACGCATATAGGCACATTGTGGTTTGCTTTGTTGCATTTTTAACAAATTGAAGGCAAGACTCTCCAAAAGCAAAAAGAAGACTCACTTTAATGCCTTCCTATACTGTAGTGGTCTCAAACCAAACCTGTAATATACCCGAGGTATGCATGTATATGTTTAAGAAAGTAATGCTTTTCCACAATTGAATATAAACGTCGTCTCACCTTAGCAACATTGAATAAATATTTGTGTATATGTTTATAAAATTATTCTCAGGGCTCAGCTATATTATAAAAAGTTGAATATAAACTTATAACAAATATGCAGTTTCTTATTTCACACAAGTGCAGGAACAAGGCAGTTCTGAATTGTTTCATCAGTTCAACAATGTCAAGGACATGGGTAATCCCAATCCGTGCCCTGTGCCAATCTCAGCCTCTCACCCCTCTGGTTGCAAAATGGCCACAATTCCAGGCATCAGAGAGACAGACAGACATGCATTCTGTATATGAGGACCATTTCCTCCTATTTTGTTAGGAAAGAAATTTTAACTTAAACTCACTTGCAGACTTTTGCTCAGATCTTCTACGGCCAGGATGGTCTACACATGCCCAAATGCAAAGCAAGCTAAGTGAGCAAGCATCTGGCATTTAGACTTAAGCGGGTGGCAGGTAACCCTGGCAAAGGGAGAAATGTTAATACCAATGAATCGGCAAGCAACATCGGCCACAATAATATCGCCTTATTTCTTTATTAATTTTTTAATTGATTTTAGAAAGGGAAAGGAAGAGACAGAAACATCAATGCGAGAAAACACTGATTGGCTCCTCCTGCATGCCCCCACTGGGGACCGGGCCCACAACCGGGGAAATGCCCTGACCCGGAATCAAACTGGCAACCTCTTGGTGCCTGAGTAGATGCTCAACCACTGAGCCACACTGGCCGGGTATGCCTTATTTTTTTAAACCTCCTCCGTTTTTGTAGTTATATATCCTCTCTCATTCATGAGTTTTTTCTTTTTAGGGTACAATGTTTCTTGTTTGTTTTTTTATCCTCACCCGAGGACATTTTTTTTTTTTTTTTGCATTTATCTTTAGATAGAGCAGGAGGGAGAGAGGGAGGGAAAGAGAGAGAGAACATAGATGTGAGAGAGACACATCGAGTGGCTGCCACCGACACAACCCCAACCAGGGCCGGGGACAAACTGCAATCGAGGTACGTGCCCTTAGTGGGAACCGAACCCAGGACTCTCCGGTCTATAGGCTGATGCTCTACCCGCTGAGCGAACTGGCCAGGGCAGTATAATGGTTTTCATTTCAAAATATGTCAAGGTTTTTTCTTTCTTTCTTTTTGGTCTCTACACTTCTTTTGTTTGAACCTTTCAACATACTAGAGTCAAACGCTCATTCATTCACTCTCTCGTTCCTCTGATCCACAGTGTTTATTGGGAACCTACTGGGAATAGGCAGTGCACCAGGTACAGTTAAGTGAGAATGAATCCTGGCCTTAATTTTCCCTATTTTCTACACATATTTAAAGAACTTAATTTTCCGAGTATAGCTTTGCTGTATCCCACAAATTTCAACATGTAGTTTTCTCTTTGTCATTCATTACTAATGATAATTTGCTTTGATTTCCTTTTTAATATAAAAATTATTTATACAGGTATCTTTTTAATGTCCTTACAGAAAGTAATGGATTTTGATTAAGGCTTTGTTATTTTCTAATTCTTCAGAACAGAAGTCAGAGGGTGTGTCCTATGTCATTATTTTTACAGGTTTTACTACATCATCCAGGTCTACATCCTGACCTCACAGCTGCCTACTCATATTCTACTGGGGTTCTTTACACTATGAATCCCCTGATGGGACAAAAAGGCAAGCTATGAGTAAAAGTTTTTTTTTAGCCCTGGCCAATTAGCTCAGCTGTTAGAGTGTTGGCCTGCTGATTGATGGGTCACAGGTTCTATTCTCATCAATACCTGGCACATACCTGGGTTGCAGGTTCAATCCCCGGCCCTGGATGGGATCGTGCAGGAGGCAACCAATTGATGTGTCTCTCATATCGATGTTTCTCTCTCTCTCCCTTCCACTCTTATCTAAAAATCAATGGGAAAATACCATCAGGTGAGGATTAACAACAACAAAAAAGTTTCAGCTTTTAATTTTTCTCTAGAAGGAATCACTTTAACATTCCTTAAAGAAAGACATGATGTAAGGTGTTCATATAGTCATTGAATCCAAAAGGCCTTCCTCTTGTATAATCTCTAATAATACAGTTACAAAAATAAAAAATTAATAATACAAGCAGCTCTTATCTAACACACTTCCAATACAATCCAGACATTGTTCAATGGAATATAACGTAATTATCTAATCTTCACAATGCTACTAAGAAATATGGTGCTAGTATTACTTATAAATTAGAAAATTTAGACATAGTTAAGTAACTTGCCCTATTAACAAATAAAGACTACATTATTGCCCTGGCCAGTTTGGCTCAGCAGTTAGAGCACCAGACTGCAGACCAAGGAGTCGCGGGTTTGATTCCGGTTAAGGGCACATACCTTGGTTGCAGTTCATCCCGGGCCCTGGTCAGGTCGTGCTGGAGGCAGACAGTTGATGTGTGTGGCTCTATCATGTCAATGTCTCTCTCTGATTATCTCTCTCTCTCCCTCCCTCCCTCCCACTCTATCTGATAGTAAGTAGAAAAATATCCTCTGGTGAGGAATTAAAAAAAAAAAAAGAATGACTGCCCTGGCCAATTTTGCTCAGTGGTTAGAGCATCGGCCCATGGACCAGAGAGTCCTGGGTTCAGTTCCCACTAGTGGGACGTACCTCGCTTGCAGTTTGTCCCCAGCCCTGGTTGGGGTCGTGTGGGTGGCAACCACTCGATGTGTCTCTCACATGGATGTTTCTCTCTCTTCCCCACTTACCTCCCGCTCTATCTGGAAAAAAAAGACTGAATATTGATTAAATCCTTTCCCACACTAAGTCAGTTCCAATAATTTTAGAGAATGAGTTTGCAAATATGAACAAGATTTGGCCAGGTCAAACTAATTTTCTATCATTTTAATATTAATATAGCCTTCCTCAAGTATGAATTATCAGATAAATAACTTGTTAGCAAATATATGGCATCTACAGTATAAATCCTCTGATTTCCCTAAGGGCTAATGATCCTGATGTTGAGAAAGGTTTGAATGATTGTCTCTAACACAGTTGCTGCATCCTAAGCCTTCCCACTTTCCTCACATTCATGGAGTCTTTCACCCTTTCACCAACTGAACTCTGATATCTAATGAATTCTGAAACACAAATAAACCCTCCCAATTCCTAACATCTATAAGGTTTCTCACCAGTAACAAATGTTCAGTAAATTCTGGCCTTAAAATAAAGACTTTACACCCACAGTACAAACTCTGATTATTACGCTGTTATCCTCAAATGCTTTTCCTCATTCCTTAGAATCACAGGTGTTTTTGTTTGCTTTCCTCGTATGAACTTCAGACATCAATTACATTCTGAACCTTCCCATGTCTTCATTCATTCCTCCATCCTGTATGAATTTTTTGATGTTGACTAAGGTGTGAGCCACGAATAAAGGCCTTCCCACATTGCTTACATTCATAAGGTTTCTCACCAGTGTGAATTTTCTGGTGTCGACTAAGCTCCGAGCCACGGCCAAAGGCCTTCCCACATTCCTTACACTCGTAGGGTTTTTCACCGTTATGACTTCGCTCGTGATGAGTAAGTTCGGACCTCCGAATAAAAGCCTTCTCGCATTCCTTACATTTATGGGGTCTCTCACCAGTGTGAATTTTTTGGTGTCGAATAAGTTCTGTGCTACAAGTAAAGGCCATTCTACATTCCCTGCATTTATAGGGTTTCTCGCCAGTGTGCGCCCTCTGATGTCGAGTAAGCTCTGAGCCACGACGGAAGGCCTTCCCGCACTCCTTACACGTGTAGGGCTTCTCACCAGTGTGAACGCTCTGATGTCGTGTAAGATGGGAATCAGAGATAAAAGCTTTCCCACATTCTTTACATTTATGAGGCTTCTCGCCAGTATGAATTCTTTGATGCAGACTCAGCTGTGAGGCACAACTGTACGCCTTCCCACACTCCGTACACTCGTAGCGTCTCTCGCCTGTGTGAATTAGTTGGTGAAGACTAAGCTGTGTGTCATAACGAAAAGCTTTCCCACACTCCTTACATTTATGGGGCTTTTCACCAGTATGGATTCTCTGATGTCGAAAAAGGTGCGAGGGACGGGTGAAGGCTTTCCCACACTCCTTACATTCGTAGTATTTCTCATCGGAATGGATTCTCTGATGCAAATTAAGCTGTGAGGTCGATGGAAAGGCCTTCTCACACTCCTCACATTTATAGGGTTTCTCACCAAGATGGATCCTTTGATGTTTTGCAAGTTGGGCGCTAGAATGAAAAGCTTGTCCACATTCCTTACATTTATGAGGTTTTTCACCAGTATTAACGCTCTGAGGGTTAGTAACTGCAGAGTCTTGAATAAAGGCACATTTCTTATTTTCATTACTTTTGTTTCTTTCATGAATTCTCCTATGCTTAGTCAAATCTGACTTACTATTGAAGGCTTTCCCACACTCTCCACATTGAGAGCTTTTCTCCTTATTTTGCCCGCTTTCCTGTTGAAGGTGGGATGACTGGTGCCTGACAGCTGCCCCACAGTCCCTGCATTCACAGGATTTCACTGCAGGATGAATTACCCGAGGCGCTCTAGTGCCTGTGCACTGAACAGCAGCAGGCCTTCCTTCAGAGGTTATGACCACGGGCCTGACATGTCCATCCTGTGCCTTGTCCAAGTAGCACTTGATTTGACTGTCAGTGCACACAGGGTTAGAGCTTATAGGTCTTTTAGTTATCTCTGGTTGCAATGATTTAATTTCATAACTGTCCTCCTCTGGAGAGAAATCCCTGGTTTCTCTTCTGGACTCCCAATCTGTAAGATAATAAGAAAGAAAATAGGTTTTGTTGTTTTTGTCTTTTTTCATGTTGCAGGAGAAAGGAAAGTCCTAAAGTAGAAAGAACAAACTAAAAATAGCAAATAAATAGTTCTTAACATGGATGGCAATTAAAAAAAATAACGGGGGGGGTGAGACTAGAGAAAATGAGGGGAACTTATCAGAGAAGTGGCTCTCAGGTTCATCAGCTGGGGCACTTGTAAAATACAACCTCGAGGAGCCACCTAAGAGCAACTGCATGAGGATCTGCAGGGACAGGCATTACAACTAACAGCAAGTCCTCTCAGGTCTGGCCTCAAAATATACCCAGATTATGACGATTTCTCTCTACCAGTATCTCTGCCACCCGTCCAAAGCCATCCCATACCAAGATTAACACACTCTCCTAACGGGTCTCCCTACTTCCACTGTTACCTTCCTGACATCCCATACCCGACATTTTAGGCCCTTTCAGGAAGTGTTTCATCTCCCGTGGATGTGCTCTGCTCCAGGACCAGGGCATGATCCCGCTTCTTTCATCCTAAATATCTTAATTTTCTGCCACATACCCTGTTCTTTGCCCTCATAATCCCTTTCTCGATTCTGGATTACATATTTGTCCATCAGTCTATCTACCAGTATAATTTCTCCCAATGCGTCCTGGAACTAGCATAATATGTATTCCACACACCATGATACAAGCAATCACCAACACACAGGCCCATTAATGTTTAAGTAAAGTGATTAAGGGTATTCCAGTGGAAACATTTTAAGATGCTCAAAATAATGACATTAGGATTGACTTGGGAATCAAAGTAATCACTGCATGCCTTTACTATTTAAAATAGTGATGAACATATTATCTCCTAACTTCAATGTGCTCTCCCTCCACCACTTTGCATGTACCTGGCAGGAATGTACAAGCAGCCAGCACCATCAGGGTGCATCCGTACGTGTGCCTGTACCAGCCCCTACAATAGTGACAGCCTTACACACCAATGAAAAGTTTACGTAATTCAGCGAGAATTCTAATGAAATGGAGAGTACCATGGCAACCATTTATGAGAGACTGTATGACGTTGTGACAAAGAATACAACTTTCGGGCCAGGAGACCTGAGTGTGAATCCCAGTCTGATGATTTGCTAGCTGTTTGACATCGGACAGTTACATAACTACTCAACAAGACTGATCTGAGATAGAATGATGCTCGTGTAAGACGTCGAAGCTTTATGCGGGCACCCTGCTGCATGGGTCATTTCTCTTTGCTCTTTTTATGGTCCGGGGTCATTGAACCGGCCCAGAACAGGGTGCAGAAAAACAGCTGGCAAATCTAGAGAGATGAATAAGCCTGGCACAATTGCTGGGCAGAGGAGATTCTTCTGTGACTAATATACGGTCTGCATCTGGGACCCAAAGAAAACGCCACTTACACTGGATGCTATACAATTGTCTTTGGGAGAAGGGCACTAAGCAACGTCTATAGAATGACTGTTCAAATGATGTTGTTTGCTTGTTTTTTTTTTTAATCCTCACCCGAGGACACTTTTTGATATTTTGTTCAGGTAGAGTGGGAGGGAGAGAGAGAGAGAGAAACATCGACGTGAAAGGGACACAACGAGTGGTCGCACCCACACAACCCAACCAGGGCCGGGGTCAAATTGCAACCGAGGTACGTGCCCTTAGCGGGAACCAAACCCGGGTCTCTCAGGACCACAGGCCGATGCTCTAACCGCTGAGCCAAACTGGCCAGGGCCAAATGATGTTGTTGTGTTTTTTTTTTATCCACACCTGAGGACATTTTTCCATTTTTTGTTCAGATAGAGTGGGAGGGAGAGAGAGGTAGAGAGAGAGAGAGAAAGAGAGGGAGAGGGAGAGAAACATCGACGTGAATGGGACACATTGAGTGGCTGCCACCCGCACGACCCAACCAGGGCCAGAGACAAACTGCAACCGAGGTACATGCCCTTAGCAGGAACCAAACCTGGGTCTCTCTGGACCGCAGGCCGATGCTCTAACCGCTGAGCCAAACTGGCCAGGGCTGATGTTGGCATTTTATATTGCCTGGGAGGTTCCAGATATCAGATGTCAGATGATGCTATGTTAAATATTTGGAAAAACAATCTGGGTCTAGCCAGTGTGGCTCACTGGTTGAGCGTCGACCCATGCACCAAGAGTCGTCGGTTCAATTCCCGGTCAGGGCACATGCCCAGGATGTGGGCCCTATCCCCAGTGGGGGGCATGCAAGAAGTGGCCAACTGATGTTCTCTCTCAGCAAGGTTTCTATCTCTCTCTCCTTCTTCCTTCCTCTCTCTCTAAAATCAATGAAGAAAAAAAAACTATGGGTGAGAGAGGAATGAGATACCAGACTTGTGACAATACATTATCTAAAATGTTTACTTATATAAGACATACAAAGAAACAAGAAAAATGCCACACACACAAAAAACAAAAAGCAGCCAATAGACAATGTCCCTGAAAGGGCTCAGTTAATGGACTTAATTAGACAAAGACTTTAATTAAGCTATTATAAATATACATTTTGTTCAAAGAACCAAAGAAAGTCATATATAAAGTCTCACTAAATAAAAATATATCAGTAGAAATTATAAGAAGCAACCAAATAGAAATCTGAGTTGAAAAGTACAATAACTGAAATAAAAAATTCTCCAGTAGAGCTCAGCAACAGATTTGAACTGGCAGAAGGAAGGATCAGCAAAAATGAAAATAGGTAAATAGAGAAGACTATCTAGTTTGTAGTACAGAAAGGAACAAAAAGCAAAAACAGAGCCTCACAGACCTGAAGAATATCATCAAGCATAGAAATATATGCACAAAGAGAGAACCTGAATGAGAACAAGAAAGGGATAAAAATACATTTGAAGAAATACTTTCCAACAATTTCCCAAATTTCATGAAAAACATTAATATACACATCTAAGAGGTTCAACAAACTCCAAGTTGAATAAACTTGCTATAAACTTGAAATAAACTTGATCAAAACTAAGAAACTGATAAAAGTCAAAGACAAAATCTTGAAAGCATCAAGAGAGAAGTAACTCATTCCACATAAGGGATCCTCAATAAGAAGGGCAACTGATTTGTTATCAGAAACCATGAGAACAGAAAGCAGTTAAGTGACAAATTTGGTGTAAAAAAAAAAAAGGGCTGTCACTCATGAATTTTACATCCAGCAAAACTATCCTTTATAAATAAAAAAGAAATTAATATATTCTCAAAATATTTTTAAAACAAATAAATTTTATCATCATCAGATCTGCCCTACAAGAAGAATAAAAGAAGTTGTTTAGACTGAAATAAAAGGACAGAAGATAACTTGAACCCACAAAAAATAAAGAGCACCAGTAAAAGGTAACTATGTAGGTAAATATAAGACTACATAAAAGTATTTTTGTTTGTAACAACTCAAATATATTATCTTACAGTTCTGGAGGTCAGGAATCTGAAAGAGGTTTTATTTTATTTTAATTTTTTTTTTCTTTATTGACTTTAGAAAGAGAGAAAGGGAGAGAGAGAGATAGAAACATCGATGAGAAAGAACATCGATTAGCCACCTCCTGCATGCCCCCCCCCCCCCCCGCCGGGAACTTGGCCCACAACCTGGGCATGTGCCCTGACTGGAAATCGAACCAGCAACCTTTTAGTGCATGGGTCGATGCTCAACCACTGAGCCACACTGGCAGGACTGAAAAAGGTTTTAATAGGTTAAAATAAGTGTGACTGTAGCAAGACTGTGTTCCCTTCTGGAGGCTCTAGGGAAGAATCTATTTTTTTGTGTTTTCCAAATCCTAAAGACTGCTCATTCCTTAGTGCATCATGGTCCCCTTCCTCTCACTTTGAAGTCTGCATATTGCATCTCTCTGTACATTTCTTATGTTGTCACACATCTGATTCTTTCAAGGACTCCTGTGATTATATTGAACCCATGTGAATAATCTAGGATAATCTCCCTAATTTAAGGCCAGCTGATTCAAACTTTAATTCCTCTTTGCTTTGTAAGGGCAACATATTCATAGATTCCAGGGATTAGGATGTGGACATCTTTGGGGGAGTCATTATTCTGTTTACTAATATTTCCTTACAATGTATTAAGCTGTAATTTGTATGACAATAATAGTACAAAGAAGAAAAGGAGGGAACAGGGGTATATTAGGACATACTTTTAAAATAAGATTAAAATTAAGGTAGTATTAATACAAACTAAATTGTTTTAAGTTAAGACATAATTAAAATTTTCAGGGAAACCACTGAAAAAATAATATCAAAAATAATATCAGACATAAATCCTACTCTTTCAATAATTAAATTAAATGTAAGCATATATCGCCCTGGCTGGTTTGGCTCAGCGGTTGGAGCGTCAGCCTGCGGTACAGAGAGACCCGGGTTCGGTTCCCGCTAAGGGCACGTACCTCGGTTGCAGTTTGTCCCCGGCCCTGGTTGGTCGTGTGGGTGGCAGCCACTCGATGTGTCCCTTCACATCGATGTTTCTCTCCCTCTCTTCCTCTCTCTCCCTCCCGTTCTATCTGAACAAAAGATGGAAAAATGTCCTCGGGTGAGGATAAAAAAATAAAAATAAAAAAAATAATAATAAATGTAAGCATATTAAATACTCAAACAGATGGCAGATATAGGCAGGATATATTAAAAACACGATCCTAGCCCTGGCCAGTTTGGCTCAGCAGTTGAGCATTGGCCTGCGGACCAGAGAGTCCCAGGTTCGGTTCCCGCTAGGGGCACATACCACAAAAAAACAAACAAAAAAAACCCTAGTATATGCCGTCTACAAGAGACACTAAATTCAAGACACAAAAAGATTAAAAGAATGGAAAAAGATATGCCATGCCATGCAAAGACTAATAAAAAATGAGCTTCAATAGCTATACAATTATCAGACAAAATAGACTTAAGACAAAAACTGTAATAGAGATGAACATTTTATAATAAGTGGGTCAATCTCAGAAACAGTTATAAGCATATATGCACAGAGCCCCCAAATACATGAAGAAAACACTAACAGAAATGAAGAGGAAAACAGACATTCAGCGATGCAATGCTCTACTTTCAATAATGGATAGATAAACTAGCCAGATTAAGAAGAAGAGAGAAAACAGCATACTCTTAAATAACTAATGGGTCAAAGAAGAAATCACAGAGAAATCAGAAAATACTTTTGAGGATAAACATACCAAAACATATGGAATACAGTTAAAACAGATCTTAAAGGGAAATTAACAGCTTAAAATGTCTATATTAAAACAAAACAAAAATCTCAGCCCTGGCCAGTTTGGCTCAGCGGTTAAAGTGTCAGCCAGTGGACCAGAGAGACCTGGGTTCGATTCCTGCTAAGGGCATGTAACTCGGTGGCAGTTTGTCCCCAGCCCCAGTTGGGGTCGTGTGGGTGGCAGCCAGTCGATGTGTCTCTCTCACATCGATGTTTCTCTTTTTCTTCCTCCCTCTCTCCCTCCTGCGCTATCTGAAGATAAATGCAAAAATGTCCTCGGGTGAGGATAAAAAAAAAAGATCTCAAATCAAATAATTACACACCTTAAGGAACTAGATAAAAAAGAGCAAACTAATACCAAAGATACCAGAAAAGAGGAAATAATAAAGATTAGAGGAGAGATTAACAAAATAAAGAAAATTAGAGAAAATCAATGTAACTGTAAATTGATCCTTTGAAAAGGTCAAAACTGACAAACCTTTAGCTAGATTAACCAAAAAAAAAAAGAGAGAAGACTCATACTAATATCAGGAACAAAAAAGGAGATATCACTACCAACCTTACAGAAATAAAAAGGATTAAAAGTAGCCCTGGCTGGTGAAACAGGCCAAACAAAGAAAGACAAGTATCATATGATCACACTTATTTGTGGAATATAATGAACATAACAGTCTGAGGAATGGGGTAGTCCCAGAGACGTGGAAGTGGGGTACAGACTGACAATCCCCAGAAGAGGCGGTGGTGGGGGAGAGATAAACCACAGAACTTATATGCATGTATGCATGAACAATGGACATGGACAACAAAGCTGGGGACAGGGCAGGGAGGGACGGGGAGGGGAGAATCACTGGGAAAAAATGGAGAAACATCTGTAACAAAAATTAATTAATTAATAAAAAAAAAAAGTAGCCCTGGCTGGGTTTGCTCAGCGGTTAGAGCATCAGCCTGCGGTCCAGAGAGACCCGGGTTCAGTTCCCGCTAAGGGCATGTACCTCAGTTGCAGTTTGTCCCTGGCCCTGGTTGGGTCGTGTGGGTAGCAGCCACTCAATGTGTCCCTTTCACATCGATGTTTCTCTCTCTCTCTCTCTCTCTTCCTCTCTCTCCCTTCCACTCTATCTGAACAAAAAAAAAAAAGGAAAAATGTCCTCGGGGGAGGCTAAAAAATAAAAATAAAAAATAAATAAAATAAAATAAAAAATAAATAAATAAAAGTAGATTGGTGGTTGCCAAAATCTGGGTTTGAGTAGTGACTACTTACAGGTATGAGATTTCATTTGAGGTAATGGAAATGTTCTACAGTTAGATTGTTGTCATAATTATAAAACTCTGAATATTCTAAAAATTAATAAACTCTACTTTAAATAAGTGAATTTTAGCCCTGGCCAGTTTGGCTCAGCAGTTAGAGCATCAGCCTACAGACTAGAGAGTGCCGGGTTCGGTTCCCACTAAGGGCACGTACCTTGGTTGTGGTTTGTCCCCGGCCCCAGGTGGGGACGTGTGGGTGGCAACCAGTCGATGTGTCTCTCTCACATCAATGTTTCTCTCTCTCTCCCTCTTGCTCTATCTGAAGATGAATGCAAAAATGTCCTTGAGTGAGGATAAAAATAAATAAATAAATGAATGAATTTTACAGTAAGTGAATTATATCTCAATAGAGCTGCTTTAAAAAGTCAAGATAGTCCTGGCCAGTTGGTTGGAGTGTCACCCTGTGCACTGAAGGGTCACTGGTTTGATTCTGGTCAGGGCACATACCCAGATTGCAAGTTAATCCCCAATCAGGGCACATGACGCAATCAATCGATGTTTCTCTCTCACATTGATCTTTCTGTCTGTCTCTCTCTCTCCCCCTCTCCCTTCCTCTCTCTCTAAAATCAATTTTTAAAAATCCTCAAGTGAGGATTAAAAAAATAATAAAATAAAGTCAGGCCCTGGCCGGTTTGGCTCAGCGGTTAGAGGGTTGCGTTGGCCTGTGGACCACAGGGTCTTGGGTTTGATTCCCAGTCAAGGGCATGTACCTGGGTTGCAGGTTCAATCCCTGGCCCCAGTCAGGGTCATGAGGGAGGCAACCAACCAATGTTTCTCTCTCACATTGATGTTTCTGTCTGTCTGTCTCTCTCTCTCCCCCTCCCTTCCACTCTATCTAAAAATCAATGGAAAAATATCCTCGGGTGAGGATTAACAACACAGAAATTCAGGATAAAACTGGACCCAAGGTACAGGAAAAATGATTGTCTCCTGGGAAGGAAGAAGGCACTTGTTCATGAAATCAGAGAGAAACATGAGGAAGGACAGCAAAAGAGTAATAAGTGAATTAAAACCGAAGGCCTCATGCTGAAACATCCTTACTTTCTTTTCCAGATCTCAGGCCTTTTCAGGGAGCTTTCCTGCCATCGTCTGAGAAGTGCTGCCTTCTTCCGGCCCAGCTGCATGACCCACCTGCCATGGCCTTCTCCATCCAAGTCACCATCACTCACCTGGGCACCATCCTTTTGTCTCCTTCTGTTTAACAATCCAGGGCTCCTTCCCCTGCTCCAATAAGAAGATCACATCTGGCTTAGAATCAGAAAGTCCTGCTCAAGGTAAAAAAAGGGATGACGTTATGTTGTGGGTGTCCCAGAATTAAAATCAGTTCATGATTATCAAGAAAGAGGAGTAGTCTGGCTAGTGTGGCTCAGTGGTTGAGCAGTGACCCATGCACCAAGAGGTTGCCAGTTTGATTCCCGGTCAGGACACATGCCCAGGTTGTGGGCCCGATCCCCAGTGGGGGGCATGTAGGAGGCGGCCAATCGATGTTCTCTCTCATCGATGTTTCTATCTCTCTCTCCCTCTCCTTTCCTCTCTCTCTAAAATCAATCAAGAAAAAAAAGTTTTTTTAAAAAGCAAAGAAAGAGGAGGAAGTAGTTTAAGGGTGAAGGTCAGAGGAACGAAAAAGATAAAACTGTAAACTGAAGCAGCCAACCTTTAACTCCACAAGAAACGACCATTCTTTGGTAAGCAAGAGTCATTAACTCAGCCAGGCACTTGAAAAACCACTCACAAGAAATTAATAACAAGCAACATAAAAATTCCAGAAGGCCCTGGCCAGTTTGGCTCAGCGGTTGAGCGTCGGCCTGAGGACCAGAGAGTCCTGGGTTCGGTTCCTGCTAGGGGCATGTACAACTGAAGAGAAAAAAAAAATTCCAGAAGGCCAATTCTGAATTTTGAGGGCCAGATAAACTTACCCAGGGAGATGAGGTTGTTGTAATTCTCCAACATTATCTCTCGGTACAAATCCCTCTGAGCAGCGTGCAAGCATTCCCACTCCTTCTGAGAGAAGAAAATGGCCACATCTTGGAACGTCAAGCCCTAAAACCACAGAGAAATATACTATTTGTGAAATTAATGGACAAAATCTTTGCAACAGAATAAAAGAAAATGGAGAAAGCAGTTCAGTAAGGGAACACTGTTCAGGAAAACAGGCTATGCTGGACCCTTCAACATGGATGGGTCAGTGTGGGAACATAAGTGATCAGAGCACACATCATTCTTAAACATGCCTGCAACTATAAATGTTACCTCTGGCATTATCCTCTTCCATTTTCCACCCAGGTCTGGGAATAAACAAAGGCCATATAATTGGTGTTTCCCAATGAAACAAGAATGCACACTGAAGTACACAGCATAGCCCACTCTATCTGTTCAACACATACTTGTGATCATCTCCTTCCCATTCTCCCAATAAAGAAGTTTTTTTAAAAAAGTCTGTATCATTCAAAAATATCTTATAAAACGTCTATTTCTGAAAACAGAATTTAAATATAACTTAGTGACTTAATAATATTTTTATTTTTTTATCCTCACCCGAGGACAATTTTTCGATATTTTGTTCAGATAGAGTGGGAGGGAGAGAGAAAGAGAAACATCGACGTGAAAGGGACACAAGTGGTCGCCACCCACACAACCCAACCAGGGCCGGGGACAAACTGCAACCGAGGTACGCGTCCTTAGCAGGAACTGAACCCAGGTCTCTCCGGACTGCAGGCCGATGCTCTAACCCCTGAGCCAAACTGGCCAGGGCGACTTAATAATATTTTTAAAAGTCAGGCTCATAAACATGCCAAAATATTAAATCCTAACCACTTTTCCATGTCATCAAAAATTCTAAAATAGACACCAATTTTACTGGCAGTATGATACCCCATCTTATGTATTCAGTGTTAGTATTTTGGGGCACTAGGTTGGACACGTTCTCCAAGGTTCTTTTGCAGTTATGAGAATTTATTACTCCTCAACAATTTATATATCTGGCTATATTGTCCCTGTTACCATAAACTATCCCTAACTATATTCCCCTTGTTCCTGGGCTACAGAACTGATGGAGGAAGATCCAGATGAACATTGATATAACCCAAGAAGAGCATACACCACGTAAGTTCACAGTGAACTCACCTATTGGTGTCTACCTGGCATCAATTCCTTGGAATATCACCTAACTCCATACACTCAACTTATCATATGTCCCCAAGTCCTAAAAAGCTCAGAGAACACCGTGGCCGGTTTGGCTCAGCGGTTAGAGCGTCGGCCCACGGACCAGAGAGACCCGGGTTCAGTTCCCGCTAAGGGCAGGTACCTTGGTTGCAGTTTGTCCCCAGCCCCGGTTGGTGGCAACCACTCGATTTGTCTCTCTCGCATCGGTGTTTCTCTCTCTCTCTTCCTCCCTCTCTTCCTCCTGCTCTATCTGAAGATACATGCAAAAATGTCCTCGGGTGAGGATTTAAAAAAAAAAAAGCTCAGAGAGCTAGAGATATGGACAAATACTGAGACTGCAACAAATCTACATCAATTACCTTCTTGTCTAATTTGAAAACCCAAGTTCGCAACAAGGGATCCCACTTAATCATTCATCTCCACTTCATCAAATCAGAGCTCTAACAACAGAGATCCATAACTTCCAGCAAGGGTTGGTTTTCCTACTCCATCAGTACTCCTGGTGGAAGGATATGCACTTACGGAATACTAAGTGGTTTGCAAAATGAACACCTAAACACTTGGAGAACAGAGGGATACTTATAGGACAGGAGCCTTTGATAGCATCACTCACTGGAATGGGAAGAACTGGGGAACAAGTTCCTTGAGGGACTCAGGGAAGCAGGAATTTTCAGGAAAAAGAAACCCACTGTCCAAGTTTTCCAAAATAAATGAAGGACAGAAGAAATATCAATTGACATACATAATGGCCTTTAGAGTTGAAAACAGATAATTTATATACTGGGTTCATCCCAGAGAAATGCAGAACTTGAGAAGACAACGGAGAAAGAAGCAAAAGCAGACCTGAGTCACCAGACTGACCTCAGAGTCCCCTAAACGACTGAGAATGATTTTTCCTCTCCCTGTTCCAATCTTTCTGCTTGTGTGTGTGTGTGTGTCTTGATTAGAGAGAGAATAACAAACCTTTACTTCCCCAAACCCCAGGGAATCCAACTGTACCTAGTGTACTGAGAAAAAACAACTTTCTCACTATCAGTAATTGATCTGACAGACGGGTCTGCTCTGACCTGCCCTGGGCCAAGGTGTGCTCTCCAAGCCGGAAGGCACTGACCTCGGCCATCCCAAAGACATCACGCACGTACAACAACATGTAACTGACAAAGGATGATAAACTCCAATATTTAAGAAGTGCCTCAAAGCATTAAAGGGAATGAAAAACTGGAAATATAAAACTCAATAGAAAAATTGGAAAATGACATGAAATAATATTTCAGAGATGAGAAAGTGAGACCGGCGGCACTTCTCTTAAATGGGTGGGAATGCTCTTCCCGGGAAGTGCAAATTCAGGATCAGAGCCCTGGTTTAGGCTCCTGTCCGGTTTAGGAAAACTCTATAAATGTGGTTTCTTTCCTCCTCTCTTCTTTCTTCAAATCACTACAGTAAATCTTTCGGATGGAATCCTGAAATAGGACACTGTTCTGAAAACCAAGAGGCCTTTTCCAAGAAGAAAGTGCCACATACAACTTACCTCCGCCATGACTTTTGATGCGCGGGGGCTCTTCTGTCTTCCTGTTCTGGGTTCTTAGAGAAGAAAAAAGGTGGAAAGAGATGAATAAACTAGGAGACAACAGTCCCTCCCTGGTTCCTGCAAGAGGCCAAGTCAACACAAATCCCTGGACTACCCCTGGCACTAAGAGGGAGTTCAAAGCCAAAGAAGCCTGCAACTCCACTACCCTCTCCCATCATCACAAAGAAGCGCAGGTGACCTTAGGGGACCAGATGGGAGTCCTGGGAGAGAATCCCAGACTGTCTTCCTCCGTAACAGCCTCACTTTGGGTTCTTCCAAACCCAGGATATTACACTGAGCCCAGATCTGTGGCTCCGAGACACAGCCGAAGGGGATCCATCTGCCAGAGACCCCACACCCGTCTTCTAGGCTGGGGGCACCTCTATGGGACTGGAGGCACGAAGACCAGGGTGAAAGAACAAAAGGTATAAGTAGGAGGAGCTCCCAAGCTCTTCAAACCCGCTGGACAACAGAAACAGCCCCAGTGCGGAGGCCATTCAAGTGCTGGAGAGCAAATGGCGGCAGTCTGTCCGTTTCAGCCGGGCTTGAGTGTAACTGGAGCTACAAAGGCCTGAAATGCAGTTGGGGTCTGAGGTGTGGTCTGAGGTGAATGCCCAGAACCCATCCACCGCCCGCCCGCGCCCAGCATTTACCCAGAATGTACAAGGAGGGCACCCTTCCCAGTTCCAGGCCCGAAGGAGGACACGGCACAGCGGCCGCACTGGGTGGTCACACTCAGGGCCGCTTGCAGAGCGCGCTCAACGCCTTCCCGCAGGCACTGCTGTCCGCGGACGTGGCTCCCTCCACCTCTCCACCTCGGGGGACTAGCGCACGGCCTTTCCGCCCACGGGGGACACCAACAGCTGCGAACCGATACCCCTGACCTCCCGAGACCGCAGGCACACGGCCGGTACCTCCCGTACCCGCGTCCTCCCCGATGTCCTTCCTTTCTCCAGCGTGGGCACGCAGCCTAGACATGCCCAGCAGCCACCCCCATTTAAGGCTCCAGACAGACCCCGCCCGCCCGGGTCCTCCACGTCCACTTCGCCGGGATCCCGGCCCTCCCGGCTGATCGAATCCACCACGAGCCGGTGAGCTAGGCCGCCCGAGCGCACCTACCCCTTGCGTCCGGGCTCCTCACACTCCCCACCGGCCGCCACCCCTGGCTGCAAACGCACACGCGCGGAGCCGGCAGGGGAATGTAGACCAGAAGAGGGACGATCCAGCTAGGGCCTGGCGGGCTCAACAGTCTTCTCCGCCGAGTCGCCTTCCAAGCCTTCGGCGAAGCTCAGGGCTGATCCCCTGCGCGCCTGAGCATCCTCCGAGGACCCGGGGAGCAGTCGGCGGCTGTGCACGTGAAGGCTTCTGAGACCTGCAGCCCACAGCTGAGGAAAGGGCGGGGCGGCCCTCCACCAGGACGTCCCGGGACCCCAAGTTTACCCGTCTGCAACAGTCTTCGCCCCAAACTGGGATATGCCCAGAGGCCTCGAAGAACCGACTGTGGTTAAACCCCGGGACCGACTGTCCAGTGTTCTCCCCACAAGGAACCGCGCGCTCAGCGCGGGAGCAGGAGAGGCCGACCCTCCACCACGTCGCGAACTAGGTCCTCCCGGACCTGGGCGGTTCAGCCCCACAATCCTGGTCGTGCTGGGTGCTCACTTTCGGCTGAGAGCGTATTCCCCAGTCCCGGACGCCGCCGGGAAGTGTAGTACTCAGTCAGGACCGCCAGAACGCTGCAGCCAGATGCCCGGGCTTTTCCACACAATTGAAGCGGTGGGGCTGCAGGGACGCCGGGTAACTGCTGGGTCCCCTGGAGGCGGCCGGGAAATGTAGTCCGGGCCTTGGGAGGTGAGGATGTGGCAGAGATTGAAGGTGAGCAGTCTTGAGCTCTGGATGCTGGAACCTGAGAAGGGGCTGGGGGGTGGGAGGAGAACAGCCCTGGGTCCAGAGTACCAATAATGGAGTACCAATAATGGAGTACCAATAATGGAGTACCAAAGCGAAACTGTATATACCATGGAAGGCTGATTTTAAGCTGCTTATAAGTACATAAATATGGATTGAAAGGCACTTGATAAGCTCTCTGGAAAGTTACACTTACACTTGTTAACAATAGTTAATTTCTAGGATGTGTAATTGAGATATTATGTTTACTTTAAGAGTAGTCTATATTTGGCCATTATCATGTCCTTGTTATGAAACCTTACTTACTCATTTTAATAAGTATAGTAGACCCTGCAATTGGGTCTATACTAAACAAAAAGTGGACCAGATTTTTGTATTATTATTATTCTTTATTGATTTTTAGAGAGGGGGAAAGATAGAAACTTCATGAGCGAGAACATTGATTGTCCGCCTTCTGCAAGCCCCTCAATGGGGATTTGGCCCACAACCTGGGCTTGTGCTCTGACTGGGAATCGAACCAGCAACCTCTTGGGTCGATGCTCAAACACTCAGCCACACCAGCTGGGTAAAAAAATGGACCATATTTTTTAAATTCACAATTTGGCCTGGCAAGTGTGGCTCAGTGGATTGAGTGTTGTCCCATGGACTGAGAGGTCCCATTTAGATTCTGGATCAGGGCACAGGCCTGGGTTGTGGGCTTGATGCCCAGTGGGGGACATGCAGGAGCAGCCAATAGATGTTTCTCTCTCAAATCAATGTTTCTCTCTCTCCCTTAAAAATAAAAAATCAATAAAAATATACTGAAAAATATGCCCTGGCCAGTTTGGCTCAGCGGTTGAGCGTCAGCCTTCGGACCAGAGAGTCCCAGGTTCGGTTCCCGCTAGGGGCACATACCACAAAAAAAAAAAATATATATATATATACTGAAAAATAATAATCTTGTCTTTCATCACAGGTAATTTGAGAAGCATTACTTTAAAAAACAAATGATGGCCCAGGCAGTGTGGCTCAGTGCACCAAGAGGTTGCTGGTTCACTTCCCGGTCGGAACGTATGCCCAGGTTGTGGGCCAAATCCTCAGTGGGGGGCATGCAGGAAGCAGCCAATCGATGTTCTCATCTCTCTCTCCCTCTCCCTTCCTCTCTCTCTGAAATCAATAAAGAAAAAAAATGATGGGGTGGAGTATTTACTTGGTCTTCTTTGAGAAAATATCTAAGTGGTTTTCTGTATTTTAAATAATATAACCAAAGACTCCCCCCAAAATAAGATCACATTTACATTCTTAATGAAAATGTCAAGGACTTCCAGTCAAGATGGCAAAGTCGGTAAACTCTATGCTTGCCTCCTCCCACAACCACATCAAAATTACAACTAAATTATAGAACAACCATCATTGAGAAGCACCTGAAAAGTAGCTGAACAGAATTCCTATAACTAAAGACATGCAGAGGAAGTCATGACGAGACTGGTAGAAGGGGCAGAGATGCAGAAAGGACAGGTCCTATACCAATGGTGTTGAGGCAGGATAGTAAGAAGCTAGGAAAATTCCTTGGCAAGTGAACTAGGGAAACTTAAGACAAGATAATTAAACAAAACCAAACAATTTGACCAATAAATCACAAGACCTTATCTTCCCTAACCAAAGCCACTTGAGAGCAAATAGTTTATACCTCTCCTCCCTAACCAGAGAATAAACAGCTTAAATCACCCTGGTCAGGGAGCTAAGAAACAGAGACCCAATTACTGACATTTCTGCAGGCAAACCCAAGGATGAATGAAGTAGGGGAACAAAAAAAAACAACAAATGAGTATTTTTTTTATCCTCACCTGAGGACATTTTTCCATTTTTTTGTTCAGATAGAGTGGGAGGGAGAGGAAGAGAGAGAGAAACATCGACGTGAAAGGGACACATCGAGGGGGCTGCCACTCGTACAACCCAACCAGGGCCGAGGACAAACTGCAAATGAGGTACGTGCCCTTAGCGGGAACTGAACCCAGGTCTCTCTGGACCACAGGCCGACGCTCTAACCGCTGAGCCAAACTGGCCAGGGCAACAAATGAATATTCTGTTAAGACCTAAAACCTCCACTAGGATTCCCACCTGCAGAAGACTGATAAAAACCCTCAAGAAAAAGGATGCCAGCACAGACTCTCTCTGGAGCACACTCATGCCTGTTCTAGGGCATGAACTTTTACTTTCCCCTAAACTCTAAGAGTCCAGCCAGGGGAGTGGCAGGCAGTAGCAGCCTGTCCCAGGCTTACCTCCTGAACCTATCTCTAAGGCCTCCTTTCACTCTGAGTTTCCAGTACACTAACAGCAGCCCTTCCTTGGCTCACTCTGTCACTGTGACTTTTACTGCTCAGTGAGCTAAGAGCAGCTCCACCTTGGCTCACTTCTCTCCTATAACATTTCCAGGGAGCCAAAGCAGAGCACCGCCTAGGCTCTCTCCAGTGGCTTCTTCTACCCTAAACCCTTCCTTGGTTTCACTGTCCCCAGCTTTAATAAATGTACTCTCAAAATCACCTGAACTTGACCTATAAAATCTTTCCTGTATGAAGTTAAGAATTCACACATTAGCCCTGGCCAGTTTGGCTCAGCGGTTAGAGCACCGGCCTGCGGTCCGGAGAGACCTGGGTTTGGTTCCCGCTAAGGGCACGTACTTGAGTTGCAGTTTGTCCCCGACCCGGGTTGGTCGTGCGGTGGCAGCCACTCGATGTGTCCCTTCACATCGATGTTTCTCTCTCTCTGTCTCTTCCTCTCTCTCCCTCCCACTCTATCTGTACAAAAAATGGAAAAATGTCCTCGGGTGAGGATAAAAAAAAAAAAAAGAATTGGGAAGGCTATCTCAGCTGCAGGGGTTGCTCCTGAACAGAAAACAGTGGCCTTAAATAACACATTAGACTAGATGAATTTAATTAATATTTTTAAAACATTTCCTTTAAAATAGCAGAATATACATCTTTTCAAGTGGCAGAATATATGTATTTTTCCACCAAAAAAATTAGAAAAAATGAATATGGTAATGTAACATGATACAACATTAATAAACTGTCCAGCATTAATTTAGCAAAGAAGGTAGAATACCTGTACTCAGAAACCTATAAG